GGGGCGGAGGGGGAGACAGCTGGCTACCTAGGTAGATTACAGTAGTGAGCAGGGCGTTGATGAAATGGACTAATTGATTTCTGGTCCATTGGAATCCGCTTCGCATCTTTCTTTTTCTCTGGCTCTCCTGCTGAGAATAGGAGACGGGGAGGAGGAGGAGGAGGAGGAGGAGGAGGCAAATTGAACAAACCGACTTACCCCAGCAAGACCACGTGCATTCATTCAGCCATGGATAAGGGAGCAAGTACGGTGCCTTAGTGATCCAGAATACCTATCAAGATGATACGGACACCTTTCCAGTTCCCCTTGGAATCAGTTAGTAGGTAGTAGGTTAGGTACGGTATAACCCACCACCTCACCTCGATTGACCTCCAATCTCAAACGCAAGTACGGAGTGCTCCGTAGATCTGGCGTCTTTCCATGCCTTTTCCTGAACCATTCTCCAACCCTCCAGGTCCATGTGATTTGCAATCTACTACCCAACGGAGATCGCCTCGTTCATGCTATCAGCGAGCGTCTAGCTACATTCAAGTGCTGCAGTAAAGTTTCGAGTCTCCCCCTTTGATTGTCAAGATTTTGAGATCTTGCATGGGACAGACCGCAGCATGCCATGGGCAAAGGTACAGTACCGAGTACCGATACTGCGTACCGGTAATACCGTTCTTCCAGGCACTCGGTGGAGCGCGGCTTACTACACGATCGGCCATCCGCCACAACTCGAGCAGAGCCCCATTGGCCAATGCGGACGACGACTTTTCTCATATGGGGGGAAACCTGCACCCCGCAATCATGGATCTATCGTATCGTATCAAACGGCGGGCTTGGTACTCGTCAATTTGGCCTTCTACTGTACTACTACTCTAAGATACTCTAGTTAAAGCTTGCAGATACATCTAGGTCATGTGCTGCCCACTAGTAAGGTCTATAGCCCCTTGCTGAAGATTGAGGTAATCATGACCACGGTATCTCGATCTGTGAGTATCTAGTCACATGACACGGCGAGAAGTTGGCACATCTGTCAGGGCGGAAGGCAATATGGTGACCCTCAGAAAGAATTGGGAAAGATATCGCCACCCGGAGACAAGTCGCCCGCAATCTCGGGTCTTCTGCCCGCTCCGTTGCGCAACCGCGGATCCATCTCGTCTTCTTTTGGGACTTTAGGAAAAGGGAAAAGGCCAGGTGGCCAACATATGAGTGGATTTGTGTATTGACTCATCGTTAAGAAGGGAACCTGAAACTCCAAACAAGCACAAGACGTGATGGTATCAAACAAATATTCGTAACAAATTCTCCCTCTTGCGTGACTATCAGCCATCTCTCCTCAGATGATCATCCAATTTAGGTGCCAGGATATGGTTCTATCTTTGGGATGGTCGGTTTCGGTTCGGACCTGGTCCAAATCGAAAGCCGGGACTTGCTCCGTTTAGGCTTCGAGGTTGACGACTCCTCAGGGTTCTCGTTCTCTTGACTCTTCTGACGATCGACTGCAGCGGGGTTGGCGGCTGCGGCTGCGGCTGCGGCTGCTGTATGCCGTGCATGTTGTGCCTCTTCGATCCCCTGTCGGATTTCCGTGGCAGATGCTCCCTGCGGCGCTGTAGTGGTCAAGGTCTCCGTGGCCCGGATCCTGTCTTGCTCTGTGGAGGTTTCGTCATTCAACTTCCCAATCTCTTCTTCGGTGACTATACGCTCGTTCTCCAGCCGGACCTCACGGCCGCGCTTGTGGCAATACCAAAGAACAAACAGGAGGACTGTGGCGTCAGTGAGTCGGTGTGCCCGGTATCTAGGAAGAAGATAGCAACCTACTAGTCAAAGCCAACGACCATAACATATTAAGCCCCAGCACGGCCGGGAATCGAGCTCGGAGGAATGCCACGATCGAGCGTAGCATTCCAACCAGCGCGGCCGGTTTCCCCACCAGCTCCTTCAAGGTAGGCACCTTGATGCCCATCTTGTTGGCTGCGGCGGCTGCTTTGCCCACGTTCTCGACGTTGAGGCCGCTCTGACTGGCTTTGGCGGTGGCCGCCGCGAGCACCTCCGGCGCCAGAGTCTCCGTCCACTTCTCAGGCAATTTCTGGATTAGCTTCTGGATGAACCCGGGCAGCTGCGAGTACGTGCTCTGCAGCTGCTTGTTCCCGTTGGTGAGCAGCATCTCGAGGTCATGGTAGGCGGTGGGCACGCCGTTGACGAGGTCCTTGAAGATCAGGGTGAACTTGCGCAACAACTCCCGCGTTTCATTGCTCATCGAAAACACCCGATTGTTCTCTGCTGCCAGGTTCAGCCTCTCCAGAATCTCCGTCATATCCTCCTTCTCCTGGTCGATTTCATCCTTGTCCGTCTCGGCGGCCTGCTGGGCCTCGCTGGGCTTGTTATCTGCTTTGGTAGGCGCCTCATTCGTAGTTCCGGTTTCCTAAAAGATCAATTGTTAACTACACAGATACAGATACAAGACACGCCGGCATAACGAATATACTATACCTTCTTCATGACCGTGCTCCGTCGCCGCAGCCAACCCCACGGGCCCTTCCTTTGCGGCGGCGAGGAACTCTCCACCTTGGCTGCTGCCTCCGGCGCATTCACACCAGCCGTGCTCCCATTCCGGTCTGTAGAAGCAGCAGCAGCAGTAGCCTCCCGTGCCTTGCGTTCTTCTTCCCCCAGTTCTCTCCCGTATTCCTCCACCGGTGACACCGGCGACTGCGCCGAGGGCGGCTCTTGGACTTCTGTCCCCACCGGCGAGACGGGCGATATCTGGCGATTCAGTTCGGTAGCTTGTGGGGCGGATTCCTGGCTGGAGCTCGCAGGGTCTGCCATGATCCCGCGTAGAAAGGCTTCGTCCTCGGCCGTCAGTACTGGGTCATGGCTTGGTGGTGGTTGTTGTTGTTGTCGCATGGACGCACGCCTCCAGGTCTTGAATTGCTGCATGATTTGGACTTATCGCATATTCTGACTTTCAATATGTTATCAACTGAAGTTATGATTTTCTCTGTCAAAGAATATTAATATCAGGAAATGCGAGATAAATAAATAGGCAGGATGCGGAAAAGGGAGCCGTTTGCCAGGGACGCAGGCGGATGCGAAGGGAGGGAATATGCGCGGGTGGGACAGGGAAAGTATGGAACGGTCTGTCTTCTCCACTTGCGCGCGTGGATGATAATCAAGATAAGGATAGACGGTTATAGTACGGGTTGCTTGCTTGATATTGTGCTCGAGTATCGAAGAACTTTATGATGTTAAAAGGTTTGCAGGAGAATTCAACAGAATTCAACGAAGAGAAAAAAAAATGGATCTTGGACGCGCCAGCACTGTAATCTGGGGGAGGGGGAAAGCAAAGGCGCTCCTCTCTCACGGGCGATGATATCACACCCCTTCAAGGACCGCGTCACATGCAAGGGTCGCCGCATGTGCCACGCGCCACCGCCACAGATCCTGTGCATGCACCGCCACAATCTGTTATCCGGCGCGATATGATGGTGGGATCGTCAATTGGTCTGTTCTCAACTCTATACTGCACGGCCTTTTTCGTATCCCGACACACAAATCCTATTAGCCTCAGCAATCCATAGAAGCAATCTGGATAACACATTCGGAGAGCAATACACGAAAAAAGAACCTAAAGAGAACCGAAGCGCAGCAAGCATGCAGCCCAACCTCACAGCCCGAAGAAATACGCATCCCTCAACCGCGTCGCATAAATATTCAGCTGGTTCTCTATCGACACCCAAGCCATCTTCCCCGGCTCCCAGACATCCTTGCCGGTGACCGCAAACCCTCTGCTCTGCTCGCAGCACGCGCACGCCGCGGTGCAGTGGCCCCGATGCTGCGGCCGCCGACAGCAGCCGCACTCCCGCGCGCAACAGCCCTCGCGGCGCGCGCAGTCCGCCCGCATCCACTCCGACAAGTACCACTCCTTGTCCTTGTGGCAGCTGACCAGGGCCCGTCGGATCGGTAGGGAACAGAGCCGAGCGTGGACCACGTCCAGCTTGCGCTCCTGGTGCCAAATGCCCTCGGAGAGCGAGCGCAGTTCTTTCTGCAGTGCCTCCACCCTCGAGACCGTCGATGCCGTTGCTCTCTTGTCGTTGTCGATATTCTTAGTACTGCTGATGAAAAGAGCTTCATGCTCCACTTGGACCCTGGCTTCCCGCTGGATGTTGAAGCGCAGCTTGGTCTCCGCTTCGACGTAATCGAGGACCAGTGTGTTTGCGTTGCGCGATTGCCATTCGTGCTGCCACCGCCGGAGCTTCTGTGCTGTTTTCCGGTTCATGGTCCCCTCGAGCAGTCTCTCAATAAGTTCCAAAGAAGAGGTAAGCATGTTGAGAGGGGTTGACGGGTGGTTGGTGCCAGACGGTTTCAGGGAGGGTGTGCGGTCTGGATGAGGGCGAGTACGACGGAGAAGAAAAGTAACAATACCATCGGGTCTGATTGTTATATGTCCCCTACATGTCCAGGATGCGTCATTGCTAGTCTTACCCAAATTCGTCATTGTTACCTATCAAGGCGGAACTATTCCTATCATCTATTCGATTGATACAAACCCTCTCATCATTCAGAAGTAATCGCTTAGCCACGTGCCCTTCATGCCAGCGGTACCAGCACCAAACCCACACAGTGATCTATCATTTCTGACCCTCTATAATTTCATTCCCTGTCACGAAATGAAATTGCCGTACCGGTGCATCTTAGCAAGACGGTAACCGACGTAATTGGCCTCACTCCAGCGTTGTCTTGTGACTATGTGACTAACTCAGTTGGCATAAAGTATCCGGCAATATAACTATCAGAGAAGAGGTCTCTGGGTCCCAGACTAGTTTCTTGCTGGCGGACAATAAGGGGCGGCACGGTACCCTCAGCGAGTGAGTTTGCATCCCTGAGGTCGACAACTGCTCTGCCTTTTGCAGTTTTGGTGACCGGTTTGTGGATCTGTCACGGTTCTTCATACAACAAACACTGGGTAGGCTGTAGGGGTGTGTCTTGTGGCATAGAAAAATCTTGCCTTGCGCATGCAGGTTGTCACACGTCTTGTCTATCACCCCTTGGTCCTTCCTGGAAACCCTATAGACACGCGGCTTGGGTTGATTCTCATTCCATCCCTCCTTCATAGGAATTTCAAGCCGTTGATTCTCAGGTACGTTGACGAAGCCGACGTTCGAACCGTCTGGGTTTACCCATATAGAAGTTATAGTGACCTTCCAATATTAGAAGAAGCGGGCCGGGGGCGGCTTCTCTCTGATCTGGTCACGCTCCATCGTCCAGATTGTAGCGGAATCTTAGTCGTCCCCCAGACAAGCCAGACGATGGAACCTCTTAGAACGAAACCATAATTATCATGCTTGACTTCCATGGTATCTAGCAATTGCCAGATGATGGTTGAATTCTCGAGAGTAAAAATGCGCAGAGCCTTAAACTCGCCGGGAATTCCGAGATCTGCTTATAGAGCCTCGTATGCGCTTGCAATAGACAAACGCGTTATCTTTCCGCATTTGCTCACGCTTATCCGGCCTGCTTGAATCCATCTACTCCGTCAGCAAGCGGATGCAGGCCCTTGTGGCCTGGTGGTGTTCACCCCACCGCAACTAGGAGGGCCGATGCACCACGTGCAACCTTTGGCGAGGTCACTGGCCAACCAAGGCGCCACGCGCAACCTTTTGAGAGGTCGTTGGCCAGTGTCAACCCCCCTAGTCGCTGGTTATTCTCATCCCGCAATACATAACCCGACTGATAGACCACTTTCCTCGGCTGTTTGACAACATCATACAAGGTACAACAGACTATACCAGCGTAGTCTGCTGCCCAGTAGTCCTTCATAAATACCTCGTTTACCGGATTCGTAACGGGCTATGTCCTGAGATCCGACATAAGGATGGCGTCCATGAGTTACTCCCCCCGACGTCGCCACTGCCAGGGCCTCTCTGCACAATCTCCCAATAAGGTCGAGAATTCTTGACCGAAGCTCTGGCCGAAGCTAGCGCAGTTTGATGCAGTGGTACTGTATAGTTTCAGCCCAAATCCCCTCCCAAAGCTTGATTTAATGCCTACCCGATTCCTCTCGTTTACCCAATTAAAATCGAGATGGTCTCCGTCCGAAAAGGGTATTGCATCCTGTTGTTCCTCGGTGTGTTGAAGCACGTGCTCAATCAACATTGACCGAACGTGTAGAATAGTGGGGATGATATGCGCCGCTTCTAGATCCGATCCCAATGATCGGGATCACTCGAAAGTATATAGACGATCTCGCTCAGTATCTTCGAGTCGTCTATCTTGACTTTACCAAGACCGGGCTTAGCCCCGTCTATTCTCGATGAAGATATCGTCCACAAAGGATGTGGCACAATGGACAAAGTGAGATTAGCCTAGATGCTCCCGGCGTCGATTGTGAAACTTACTGTGCCCACAGTGTGCATCCAAAGTGCCTTTCTCATTGAGCATATACTCGCCCGCTGCGTCAGGAAAGGGCTGTTCGGATTCTGCGGTGGAAATGCCGGGCAGGGCGAAATTTTCGGCTCTGGACTTGGAGTTTTTCGTCTGATTCCGGGCACCATCGCCGATTCTGTTCTTTTTGGCATCTTGGTCGATGCCTGAGGAAGTGCGTCAGAATTGGTTGGGGATTCTTCTGTCGGATTCGGAATTCGTAGATGGACTTAAATTCTGGTCCCGGTTCGGTATCAATCTCACGACACAGAGTCGATGGATCGAGAAAAGTGGGTTCTTGTTGGTTGATTCGGAGCCAGGGCGGTACAACTCGGTGTGTTTTGTGAAGCCAGTCGGCAGGCTAGGTTGTTTTGAGGTTAGGGAGCCTAGCAAGTAGAGATGTCTCCAGCTGCTGGGTGAAATCGTTCCGATATGAAGCCTCTCATAGCTTGTTGAGAGACACTCAAGGCTGTCAGGATAAGCAAAGTAGGTATAATATGGGATCTTTGAACCTGACTAGTATCAAGTGGGGTGGATGGTGTCAACCGAAGAAGAAAGATATGTTGACCGGGTTTTATACGCGTACATACAGTATGAGAAGAAGAGTTGTTGACTGGAAGAGTTGTTGGAGAAGAGGCGAGAGGAGAGAAGAATAGAAGAACTGGATAAGTAGATGTCTGATCTTCAATTGGATATGAGGATATTCAATAAGCTCGGTAGAAACTTTCCCAGAGTGTGAATGTGGACGATGTGCCCTGCCGCCTGTTAAGTTTTACAGGGCAGGCCGCGCTATCAGTGAATCACCCAATAGAACGGCCAATTGAATGATCAGAGCCTATCGACTGAATGATCATTCAATTGGCTTGATTTGACCTCTACTCTCGAGAATCTTAAGAGGGAATTAACTTCCAAACTGTTCTAGGGCAATATTGTCACTATTGTCACTCTCCCCGCCTTGACCCGCCAGCCTCGTGCCGGGTACTACGGCTTGTGCCGCTTCCCACCCGGCGCTAGTTAAAGCGCTGCCTGTTATATAACTAGAAGCTGTCATATGCCCCTGAGTCATCATCTTTTCTTAACAACTCCATAACAACCACCGCAATTTTACCTACACTACACAGACAACAACAATCCCAAAGATGACGCGCAAGACCCCATCTGAGCTCCTAGCCGCGAACCCCCTAGACCTGACCCCCTACGAATCTCTCTACAAGCATTTCCACGCACATCCCGAACTCTCCAAAAGAGAGAAAGCAACCGCCGAAAGAATAGCAGCTCATCTCGCGCAATGGGATGCCTTTGAGATCCACACCCGGATCGGGGGTCACGGAGTCGCCGGGGTCCTGCGCAACGGCCCGGGAAAGACCGTCCTTCTGCGGGCGGACATGGACGCTCTCCCCGTGCAAGAAATCACGGGCTTACCCTACGCCAGCGCGGTCACGATGCAGGATGCCAGCGGCGCGGAGAAGCCGGCCATGCACGCCTGCGGCCACGACATGCACATCACGTGTCTGCTGGCGGCGGCTGAACGGCTGGTGCGGATGCGATGCGACTGGAGTGGAACACTGATTGTGGTGTTTCAGCCTGACGAGGAGCGCGGGGAGGGCGCCCGCGCAATGGTGGATGACGGCCTGTACGACAAGATCCCCGTGCCGGATTATGTCTTCGGCCAGCATGTGATGCGCATGCGCGCGGGGAGCGTGGGCTCGCGTCCGGGGACCATCATGGCTGCGGCGGATAGCTTGAAGATCACGCTGTTCGGGCGTGGGGGTCACGGGTCCCTGCCGCATCAGACGGTGGATCCGGTGCTGCTGGCGGCGAATGTGGTGGTGCGGCTGCAGGGGATCGTGAGCCGCGAGATTGACCCCAGTGATCTGGCGGTCGTGACAGTCGGGAGCCTGCAGGCCGGCCAGGCGGAAAACGTCATCCCGGACACCGCCGAGCTGGGCGTGGATTTCCGCTCGGTGAGCGTCGAGACCCGCGATAAGATCCTCGCCGCGATCAAGCGTATCGTCGAGGCCGAGTGCATGGCCAGTGGCTCGCCGCGGCCACCGGTCTTCACACCCACTCGAAACTTCCCTCCCACCATCAACGACAAGCAAGTCACGGCTGAACTGGCGCCTTGCTTCGCGGAGCATTTTGCAGACGGGTTTGACGCCGACACCCCTCGGACTAATGTCAGCGAAGACTTCTCGATCCTTGGCACTAGCCAGGGCCGGCCCTGCTCGTTTTGGTTCTTTGGTGGCATCGATTCGGAAGTGTGGGATGAGGCAGAAAGCAAAGATTGCCTCCACGAGATTGCTGGCAACCATTCCGCCTCATTTGCCCCGGCGATTCAGCCAACGATGAAGACGGGAATGGACGCGCTTTGTGTCGCGGCGTTGACGTATCTGAGGAAGTAGACATTGTAAATGTCAGAGTGATGCATATAAAACGCTTGATGCAATTCCCCCCTGGATCTTGACCCCTGCTGCGTAGAGATAGATGGAAGAAATAGATGGAAGGATTACAGTGTTCGCTCTGGTAACGATTCGTTTGTGTTCACTGTTTGCGGAGATCTCATTCCTTTTCTCGACGATGTCGACCATGAATGAGGCAGGGTAGCAAGTGTGGAATCGATCTGAGACGGCATAGCGTTGGAGCACTTAAGACAAGGATGTAGTGGATGAAGAGATAAAGCGAGGGAGAGGGGGGGGACAAGAGGCAGTGGACTTGTCCATCCTCTCAGTTCTGGAACCCAGCACGACTTGTGCTACACTGGGAGAGTGTATCATGGCAGAAACATGCGCCACAGACAATTTGCATACTCAGACACCAGAATTAAGAGGCTGTATTTACTTTGAGGTTGCATACGACCTATCGCAGACTTCCAATTTGCCTGCTCGATTGCAGGTCTCAAACCTCCCCAGGTCACTTTGTCAACTACGCCAACAAATCCAGTCGTTCACTGAATTTATTCAGCAGAAGATGAGGCAAAACGAGGTTAATCGCAAGAAAAATGCATTTTCAATAGAGCCCACACTCAGTTCATGCCCATCCCAACAACACGCTGTCATAAATCCATCCGCGAAACAGTGTCGACTTGGTGATAGTGAACTCCACGGAGTTAGCCCCATTGCGAAGCGCATCTGCCGAGACTGGAAACTCGAGCAGATGCCATTCACCCGCCAACGTGCCACACCGATAACTACTAGGGTCGCTGGCAAGAACACTCGAGCTGATCGTTCCGACTGAAACCCCATTCACGGAGACCGTAGCTGAACTCCCTGCGCTAAACCCGGCCAGCGCAACTGACAGGACTGCTGACCGGCCCTGAGACGTCGAGTTTCTGGGAAGATCGAATTCCACCGTCCACGTACCCAGCGATGACTGCTCGAAGCACCAGTCCTTACTCTGGCTCGTCCCCACGGTGAAGGTCAGGTTGGCCGGGCAGTTGAGTCCCCTCGCGAATTGGTGGGGAGCACCGCTATAGGCAAAGCCGGTGGCCTTGCGATCGACTTCGCCAATCTGCCAGATGACCTCGCGGCCTTGCGGAGCCCAAGTCACGTCCCCTAACCATAGGGCTTCACCGCTGTGGACGGAAATGTTGTTTTTCTCAAGGACAGTGGTCACTCCGCCTGCCGCGTCACCCCCAGCAGCGAAAACACGAAGGCCCCATGTTCCCTCACGGACATTCTCCAAGGTAAAGTACCCGTTCTCATCGGCATAGGTCCGATAGTAGTACCAGGCTCCCTGGTCCAACGTGCTAGTATTGGACTGGTTGTCCCCTAAGAAAACTGCCGCCCCGCTCGCAGCCTGGCCGTCGGAGAGCACGATGCGTCCTCGAAGACTGCCGCGGGAATGGTATCCATGGCTATCCTGCATCCAGTCGTACGGCCAAGCCGCAATCTCCTCCTTGGCGCGAGTCGCCGCGTCTTGGATGGAGCCATCATTCTGTCACGATTGTCAGATATCTTGAAGTCGCTGTACACGGCGAGCATTGTGGGCGAAACTTACCAAGTACCACAACCATGGGCCCCAGGTCTTACCTTCCGGGAACTCGTCGCTGCTGACGGCCTGATAATGCGTGCCATGGATCATGTTCAGCTGTACCGCATCCCCAGTCTGACTCTCCCGGTGCACCAACAACTCCTGCTTCAGATGGTTGCCGTTCAGGTAGTCTTTACCCCCATGAATATACCACGAGCCCACTTGCTCGCCACTCGCCTCTTGGCCACCCAGCGGCCCGTAGAGTCCCCAGAGAGCGGACTGCCCTTCAATTACCGGCAAGAAGGTTGCGAAATCATATTTTGTGATGTATGTGCCGTCAGCTTGCTGCCAGGTCTCATCTTGGATCTTGACGGCATTCACAATGTTCGACAAGGGCGGCAGTGCCTCGTTCCTTTCGTCCGTCCACCCGTGGGTAAAGCTATCGTTTGCAAGCCGCCAGAGCGTACGGAATTCACCAAGAGTAGGTAAGGCTTTGTTCACGAAGTACTGGTATGCGCCTGTCAACGTGGGCGTCAAGACCCAATGAAATTCCCCCTCTGTCGCTGTGAAAACGATATCGGTGTAGTCGCCAGTGACTTTGTGTATCCGAGCATTGGTAAGATTCAAGTCGCTTTGAGCGCCATCTGAACAAAAGATTAGAGGTAAACTAAGAGACACAATGAGAGGGAGGAGATAAGGAAGAGGGTCGTACTGTAGGACACATAGTGACCCCATGCGTCACCCACTAGGTCAACATTTTTGTAGTAGAGCTTGGTGCCATACTGACGACCAATGGTGGCATTCCAGAAGTCATTTCCAAGGATAGCCGTTTCATCGTCCACATTGATCAGAAATGGTGGATTTGGCTTTGACCGGGCCACCGGCGACGCGGACGACTGTAAGCCCAAAGCCAACCCAATCACGATAGATGCCAACATAATGCAGTCTGGCTCTCTGAGTGGGAAGAATTGGACTGAATACGGTACCATTGTATCTTTATGGTCCAATTACCCCCTCTTCCCGCCGCCCGCCAAGCAAGTGAAGGTGCATTGTGTATAGACTGAGCCGGGTATGAATTGCCCCGAGATCTCGTGGGGAGGAGCACATGGTGCAGGACCAAGAGTGGAGCAGTCTGGTTCCCTGCAGGTCCTCCGGCGGAGTGGCCAGTGTAGTTCAGTGATTGCGGGTATCCCCCGGGGTTTCCCCGCCTTCCAAGACATGCAGCTGCATGAACCTGCTTCCCCAGTCTTCTTGGCACGGGTCCTCCGCGAGATGCATGATTGTTCTTCCACCACACAGATCACCTGCTTTTTTCGACTCGGGCTAATAAAAGGCGACCTTGGTGAGCTGGTAATGAGGTGAATTGTAAGACATAGTATAGAAGATCGGTAATTCGCGTGAACTCTGAGTTGTTCATAACGTTCTTGAGCTCATGTTCTGCGAAGCTCAAATTGCTGTCAGCGCAAATGTAAAAGACATCCTTACAGCATTGCAGCAATACCTCTTGACCTTGGTATTCTCCTCGTGAGCCCAAGACCGCAGGTCTTAGATCTCATCACTTTCCTTTGGAACGGGAGCCTATGCCTCGAATCCAGATCCGACAGAATCGTCTTCGTTTGGTATGTGCATAGCGCGACGACTCGATGCAATCTCAGCGATGGAAGACAGAAGTGCATGCTCCTACGAATCATTTTTATGAAACGTCGGCGATGTCTCGGGCTTAATACTTTTGAGCCTTGCACCGGGAGTTCCAGTATGAAGAATGGATAATCTGAGCTAACTGAGCGGCGAAGAGACGAAGAGCTCGACTTGATTTGCTACTTGACCCGTGAGGCGATTGCGATGACATCTTAAACTATCATATTGTCAGAAACTAGTCCATCACACGGACATCCTCGGCCACTAATACTCACATGTCCTCGAATCGTCGAAGCTAGAAGTCAGGAGCTGCATGCGTCCACGTCGTCCTTCCAGCGCCTCTGGATAATCCCACTTCCCACAGGTCTTCAAACTACGAGCAGACCCTGATTGACGGGTTCCATGCTTGTGTGCAGCCCTCAGTCCTAAATTCGCTATCATGCTTGCTCGGAAAGAATCATGGAGCTCTTTCGAAGACGATTTCTTCGTCGCTCTGCTGACAGTTGATGGATGTGTGTTCAACGATGAATGTGCATGAGAGTGTAAGCGCCGAGCTTCTGTTTATCCCGTGAACGGTTGAGGTCTAGAACGGGTTCGATGATGGCAGATCATGATAGCACGACCGACAAAGCTGGAGAGAAGTAAACAGTCTTCTCGGTGAGTTGGGCAATGAGGAATTCGCCCATCTTTGCACGCGATAATCGATGAAACAACACTAGTTGAGAGTTGCTGGGTATTAGTGGTACCAAGTACGAAAGGGAGTACATGCTAGGAAACAAGAACAACGCGCTGGCAAGCGAAAGCGCGTTGTCCTACGATCAGTCTCAGCCAACCCTCCCACAGGAGAATTGCCATCATATGTACGAAGTCTGTGCAGATATAGAGACAACTTACAATAATTATGGAGAGAAAAACAGAAAAAAAAGTGCCGTTCTCATCCCCAGGGCGGGGTATATTAACCTATTCCGATTTCCGGACAACCACCGTCGCCCTCCTCAGGATTCGAACGCAGGACCTTCCGTGTTTTGCGCGCAACAAGTTACCCACTACGCTATCGGCCAAGCAGGCTACTAGGGAACACCGACTTTAAAATATACCCTACCAGCCTCTTCACCTGGACAAGTACCCTTTGTGCGAGCAAATGCCGAAATAGCTGGGGTCAGATGGCAGCCCTACGCTAACATTCGTCATGATGGGAATTTTAGTGCTTGACTGAGATTAAGCATTCGGCTTGGTTGAGTAGTTGAATCTAACCATTTTGCTATACGATATTTCCCTCAGTTAAAGTTAGAGGATATCTGGCCCTAGTTGGTCAGCATCACTTTGAACAACTGTACATGGTTATGTGACCATCGAAGTACCTACTTCTCCACAAGTGCCACTTTCGGAAACTTCCATCCCTAGAATACTTCAGTTGTTGACCCTCCAGTGCTTACTACAGCGAGTTTGCCAAGAACTCAACACACGAAGTAGATAAGAGATCAAGAAAAGATGAAAATGAAGCGGCAAGGTCAAATTCGTATGAAGACCAACGAATCGCTTGCAAGCAGTCTAGAATATCTATACAGCAATGAAATAAACACCATCGAAAGCTCATACAGGATACAGCAAGACATAGAACAACATCATAACCATCTCGCCTTCTGGGCCATAACAGGAGAGGCCCCAGACCCGACAATAAACCTCTTTTCCTCCATGCCACAGAACCAACAATCAATATGGTATCACAGATCGGGTGAGTCGGTTTCAGACCGACGTTGAGCACGCAAAGTGCTTTCGCATCGAAGCCATTCTTACCAGCCGCCAGGACCGCCGGGGCCCCCTGGCCCTCCAGGGCCTCCAGGGCCTCCAGGACCACCACCGGGGCCGCCGGGGCCGCCAAAGCCACCAGGGGGGCCATCGGGACCGCAGCAGTCCCCACAGCAACAGAAGCAGTCGAGGCAGCAGCAACAACTATTTAGCATGTTAGCAAAGTTCAGGGAATACGGTGATCGTTGGTCACTTACTCGTCACCAGGCCCAGGGGGAGGACCGCCACCACGCAGCTGCATGTTCATCTGGTTATCGGGCGTCTATGTCACATGGCGTTAGCTATACTCTGGTCGATTGCGGAAGACTTGTGATTAACGTACGGGCTGCTCAGCAACAATAGCGTTGGTGGAAGGAGACTCGGGGCTCTGAGGTTGGACCATGGTCAGTGTGTTCGGATCCCAGGTAGTCTGGGGCGCTTCCTCCTTCTTGGAGGAGCTGAACCAGCTGAACAGACTGTCGCCGAACATTGTGTCAAGAACTTGTTCTGGTGTGAGTATGTATGCGCGATGTTGTGAGTTAGGACGAAGAGGGACAATCACAGCAAAGGGAAAGGAAACGGGCTTCAATTTAAAGGGGACTATCAGAAAGTTGTAGAGGAAATCAATGGATCCTTGCTATAAGGTTGTCCACTCAGCGAGCTGTCTGACATCTACTATTTACGGCGCGCCACACCGCGGATGGGGCGAGCCATACTTCAATTAGCTTGAATGTCCAGATTGGTGCGTTGTCTTCGCAGCTTTCATCTCTGTTTCTCGGCCCAGAATTGGGTGAGGGTCGTCGTTGTGGATCCATCCGATCGAGGCGTACGTATACCCCGTTAGGCAGACAATTTGTCCACCGCATGGATGATTGTGGCTGTCGCCAACGTTTCATGACGTATCAGGCTGAAGAACCCACGAATGTAGTTCAAGATGATACCGTTTTGGCTGCATGGTGACCTATTGCGATAGCACCGTGTTGATGCATGGAAAGGGGGGGTTGTTGGCGGTATAGCTTGTCCCGAAAAAGCTTCGCATGAGGGATGTCTCGGCAAATTTGCCAAGATATATAGTGGAAATGCTCATTTTTCTGCAGCCTACTAGACCAGTAGATCGACCGGATGACTTTCGAAAGGAGTCTGGCTAAGCCAATGGTCGTCCCTTTCCAGAATGTCGAGCCGTATAATGTGGAAAGCTTGGGGAAATAGATTTATGCGGACAATCGGGGCAACGGGGACGGTATGCATGCTCTTAGAGGTACCCTTGGAGCAGTCGCCCGATGTTTCATCGTAACCAATGTCTATCCATGAGCGCAAAATCGATGTCTTGATAGGAGTCTAGATTTTATGGCGCAGCACAGCAACCAAGTATGGCCCCAATGGCCGACGCGTACGGAGTAATTAGTCTACTATGTAACTATCAGTCTCAGCCACAGTGCGATGTCGGGGGCCTCGGGGCGAGCCGGTGACTAAGCGGCATATCGAAAGACCGTCTGATCGTCCCAACGAGGTGGGCAACACTAGCTAGCCAGGGACATGTCAGTCTTCCTTGGACCCTGTGATCCATGATTCTCTGCACGGTGGCTTGCGTGGTCGCAAAATCTGTATTGAGGTGGCTTTCGATCAGCCTTGTGCAGTCGTGGGGCGACAATGGATTTTCTGGGACAACATCCTACCCAAATCATTGATATGTCCACAATACTTCAACCGTGCCCATCGAAAATTGCAAGTAACGAAGTCATGCTCATGGTGCTGTTGTTTGTAAGTCTATGGCCATCGAAGCTGACCTAGGCTTGTTTGACTGAATGGTTAAGTGAGGTAAGTGGCCATCAAAGTAGCATCGGTGATAGGATAGACGGTATATGAGTCCAGTTGTGTTGCATAGGAAAGACAGGCCTAGCTTGCAAAGCAACAAACAGCAAAGGTTAGACTATAATATTGAAGAGAACAGATTCTGCTCTATGGTACAAGAACAGGACACCAATGGCAGGGCTTTGTAAAGCTTTAGTGGGTCGGAGAAGGGTCCCAGTATCAGGGTGTCTGTTCTGGATGCACACACCGAATTCGCAGGGAGCTGGTATGTAGCATCCGTGCAATAGCGCTTGTTGGTACTAGGTCTTAGCTCATAGTTTGCCAGAGAGCTTTCGATAGATCCGTTACGGTCCAATGCCGGATGATTGGGTTTATGGTATGTGTCGACTTGAGTACTACTAGTAATTGGGTAAAGGAGCTCAAGAAAGGCGAGTCCGTCTTCACAATATATAGAGCGAGGGATAACTTGGCAGATTGTTCCTCTGTATACAGTTCCAATACACAAGTGAGCTAACCCTTCTTCACCTCAACCATTGAGATGGTCGGTCGCATCGAACTGAATGGCTGATGGTTAGGTGTCGCCGAATCCACGATTTCGATTTTCAGTAACGACAACAGCCCTGCGAAATTCTTTCTAAGGCCACTAGGTAGGGAGAGAAGCAGTTTCTGGAGACTATCCCTGTGTTGAAATCAGGGACCATATTCCAGTTCATCAGTGCTAACATATAAAGCCTTAAGTACTATATGACCGTTGCCAGTGACGTGAAGTTCAAAATTGCATTCAGTAAATACCATCAGTGCCAATTGTTTCTGAAGTGATGCAACAAGTGTAAGGCGGAGTATAAACCAGGCATAAAAGGTGATGGATCACGTGGTGCGGGAGTGGAGGCTCTTCCCTGAACTTCCCGAACCTCAAATCTCAGATTCTGGTCCTGCAATTGCGCGACGATCTAACGTCTCCGGCTCTTGAACCACCCGCCATTGGACCCCCTTGTCCTCCATCTAGCGACTTTGATCAGTCACTCTCTCCCTCTCTCGTCTTTTCTTCTTTCCAAGGGTTTTCAAGATGTCCGCCCCGGCGTCCCGTGCCGTCCTCCGGCAATCGCAGTTCCTGGCTCGCAGGACCGCAGTCAGACACGCCTCTTCCACCTCGGAAGCCGCTTCCAAGGCTGGCGAGGCTGCTTCTTCCACTGCCTCCAAGGCCTCTGAGGGCCTCTCTCGTGTTCAATCCTCGGCTGGTCCCGCCATCACCAACGCTGCTCAGGGTCTCGGTAACGCCCTGAAGAAGGTTGGTGGAAGAACCGGAAAGGTCATCTCTTTCGTCGAGAGTAAGCGAGCTCCCCTGACCTCACACCGTGATATGCTATATATCCTTCTTCTTTCTCCCTGGCTGCTGTGGCACGACAGTCAGTGCGAGGTAGTCTGGTTCGCCATAACAGGATGTGAAGAGGATGCCTCCGGATATCACACACACACCATGTCCCATCTGTCCATTGCTAATCAATTCCCTCTGCAATATAGGCATGATCCCCCCCACCGTCTACTACAGCAAAGTCGGTCTCGAGCTCGCCAAGCTGGTTTTCCGTGGACAGAACATGACCCCTCCGTAAGCGCTCTCCCAGAGGAGAAACACCACAGGCATTGTTGCTGATACCGATATCTAGTAATGTCGCCACTTTCCAGGCCTACCTTGAGCCCTTGATCCGCAACCCTACGAACTCTGCCTTCGCCCCCTCGAACATCATTGCCCGGATCCGCAACGCCAACAAGAAGGAGCTCGCCTTCGCCGGTGTCACCGCCGCGGAGGTGATCGGTTTCTTCACCGTCGGTGAGATGATCGGTCGGATGAACATCATCGGCTACCGGGGAGAGCCTGAGCACGCCGGACACCATTAGATAAATACCACGCAGTTGTGCCTTAGCCTGTCTTCCTTCCCTTTTACACAAACAATCCCCCCCGTTTCCTTTGTGCGCTGTACTATTGTATGATAGACGATGGAATTCAACTGTTGTCTGAGGTGACTGGTGTATTTGTTTCTTTTTTTGTCTCTCTCAGTGGAACATGTTTGCTTTTGTTTCCAAAATGTGTTTGGGTATCAAAAGCCTTGCTGGAAGTGTGTGCGTCCGGTTAGAAGATAGACTTGTTCCACCTGCGCTCGAATGTTTTTAGATATCTTTTCGAATTCTATGTGTCTTCTTGAAAGTGAAAGTCCTGTTGATCAGCAAAGCGCGGCTGTCCTCGTAGGAAGATTCTGGCTGCAATGAGGACTCCGAGCACAGAAGGGATATCAAGGAGATAAGAGCGATGGGCCCACAAAGATAACCGCCATACGATAGATGTACTGTGTCTATGAGAGCTGTTCAGCCTCACCAACGTATCTCATTCCTTCATCTTGAATTGCCCTGTATCCCTCTGTACATCAAGTCCACTAAGCACAGTCCTGGAGAACGGACAAACTGGACAAACTAACAATCGATTATGAAGTTCTGTGTTGGACAAACCGAAAGCGAACCTTGAAGCCTCAGGAAGAGAGGCCAGGCCCCTCTCTGATTGGCCCGTGCGGGAGATATGGAACATCGAACTTTTTTTCCCGGGACAACCATAAAAAAAAAGGCCGCGGAGGAATTTGACCAACTTCAACGGTCGTTTCCCAAAATAACAACCGAGCAAACAAAAGGAGCGCGCATGTCCTTGAGTCCTATTTATTGAATAACGTCAAGTCGCATGGTCTTGTAAAATCGCGACCGCCCCCCCCCAAAAATGGATGCCTTCAAGCTCTTGACAAGAGCCACCAAATTGAAGACCGGTACCGCTAGTAGTACCCTCTCTTCATCAACTTTGCCATCTAAAGGCAAGGCGCAGACCCCCCAGCTCTTCCACGCCTCGGAGGCCGAGGAACTGCTGCGGAAGAATAGTGGCGTCAGCGCCAACAAAAAGCGCAAGAGAACCCATGCGCCGGCCGAGGCGTCGGATTCGGAGAATGATGATGACGACTTGCCGGGGTTAGACTTCTTCGGCGCGGGCAAAAGCTCTGCCTCGACGGCTAAGAAGGAGCGGGCTGCGGCGGCGAAGGAGCAGGAGGAAGTGGAGTCGGAAGAGGAAGAGGGCGAGTCGATGGGTGAAGTACAGCGGCGCACGATCTTGAACACCCACAAGATCAAGGTCACGGATATGCGTGACCTGGAGGAGGTGCAGCAAGTGGCGGCGGCAGCGCCGCCGGCGGAGGGTGACGAGTCCAACAAGAAGAAAAAGAAGAAGAGAAAGCAAGAAAAAGAGAGTTCCTCGTCGGCTCAACCGCTCACGAAGAAGGAGCTGAAGAAGGCACGCCAGTTGTTCCCGCAGCCTTTGGTCTCGTTCAAGGAGCTGCGCACCAGGTACAACATCTCGCGCCGGCTGGCGGAGAACATCGCCGAGCAAGGGTTCACGGTCCCCACGGAGGTTCAGTTGGGGAGCTTGCCTCTGTTGCTGGGGGATCAGTCGGTTGCCCAGAAGGCGGGTACGACGGGCACTGTCGAGCCTGATCTTCTGGTGGTGGCGCCGACGGGCAGTGGTAAGACACTTTCTTTCATGATCCCCGTCGTTAACAAGATTGTCCGACACCATCACCAGCAACAGGAGGAGCGTGGTATCTTCGCTGTTGTTGTTGCTCCGACGAAGGAGCTTGCCAGTCAGATCGTCAATGAAGGACGGAAACTGGCGCTCGGAACTGGTGTCAAGATTACTCTGATGAAGAAGGGCATGCGCGTTGTCGAACGCGACGATGAGGGTGACGATGCTAAGGGTGTTCTGGATGAGCAGAGTGAGGAGGAATCTTCTGGATCCGAGGACGAGGAGCAAGAGACGGAGAAGAGCAGCAAGGGGAAAGCCCCCGTTACCAAGAGTGACATCCTCGTCACGACGCCATTGATGTTGGTCAATGCCCTTTCTGCAAACAAGACCAAACCTTTGGCGACCTTGCCTCTGGTAAGGAACATTGTCCTGGATGAAGCCGATGTTCTGTTGGACCCTCTGTTCCGCGAGCAAACGCTCGATATCTGGCGAGCATGCACGCACCCTGAACTTCGGGCAAGCTTGTGGTCAGCTACCATGGGCTCTAACATCGAAGACCTGGCCAAATCTACCATTAAGGAGCGCAAAGACATGTTGAGCACGACCAAGTCTTATCCCCTCCTCCGTCTCGTTGTGGGACTGAAGGACTCCGCTATTCCGAATATCAAACACAAGCTGGTCTACGCCGCAACAGAGCAAGGAAAGCTGCTAGGACTCAGACAACTCCTCCACCCTGCGGCAGCAGCGGCTTCAGATGTTCGTCTTCGACCTCCCTTCCTCATTTTCACCCAGACCATTCCTCGTGCCATTGCTCTCCACTCCGAACTGCGCTACGACATTCCTGCTGAAGCCGGTGGTTCCTCGCGCATTGCCGTTCTTCACTCCGACCTGTCCGACAACCAGCGGTCCGACATCATGAGACTGTTCCGCAAGGGCGAGATCTGGATTCTTGTTACGACCGATCTGCTAGCTCGTGGTGTTGACTTCCGAGGCATCAATGGGGTGGTCAACTACGATATCCCCAATTCCGCCGCCGTTTACGTCCACCGTGTCGGACGTACTGGCAGAGCGGGCCGTGAAGGTGGCATCGCCGTGACATATTACACCAAGGAAGATATTCCCTATGTCAAGAGCATCGCCAACGTCATCGACGTCAGTGAGAAACTACGGGGCACCACAGAGGAGAAGTCTGTACAAAAGTGGTTGCTCGACGCTCTTCCCGACCTCAGCAAGAAGAGCAAGCAAGAGCTTAAGAAGCACGGTGTCAAGGCCCGACAATCCAAGAAGGACGGCAAAGAGGACAAGAAGACGAGAATCAGCACTAAGAGTGGTTACGAACGACGGATGGAGAACAAGAGAAAGGGCGCGATCGAAGCCAGTCGGACCAGGAAGGCCGACTCACGACCGGCCGCTGCAGATGCTGCTGCCAGCGACAACGAGGCCTGGGATGGTCTCGACGACTAGTCGGCATGTCCCTGTACCAAAAGCAAAATTTTCACAAATCAAACTAGTACTCACTTACGATTCCCCCCACCTCGCGAAACACCCTTACCGCAACGTTGGCCTCTTAGATATTCATGTATTATTGTTTTTATTCTTATCGTCAGGCTGCTCGATCAGATTCCGCTTCAGCCGTAGCAACAGATACTCATTGTCCAGTTTCCCTTGCTCCTCCAAGACCCCCTCCAACTCATCCCCGTCCCGGTCGAAGTACACCCCCCACGAGCCATCGTCTTCCTTGACCGCGACAAACTGCCGGCTCCCCTCTAGCGTCAAGGTCGTCTCATCGTCCACCCAATCCCACGGCCCGATCACATGCTCGCAACTCTGCGTCCGGTTCCCATACTTGAGCTCATGCGTATCCTTGTCCGCGTAGATCCACCCCAACATGGGCGGATTGTCCGAGATAGTCGTCGCGACCCCCAGCCCGCGCTTCAAATGTTTCATATGATCGAACTCCGGGTACTCGATGTAGAACGCCTGGGCGGTATGCGCGGGAGGATCTCGTTTCGTGGTGTCGGGGTCATCAAGAAAGACCTTTTAATTGTTCAAAACAAAGAGCAAATATTAGCGAGAGCCCTTTCAGAGACCTCGACGACGCGAGACCGTTGGTGCGGAGAAGAGACAAGCGCAAACCAGTCAGGCAGAACTGTCCCACTCCCGATGACTTACCTTGAAATCCCGCAAAACCACCCGTTTGCCATGTACCTCGGGATCCTCGATATTGTACGGCGGCGCGGCGACATCGATGTAGAATTTGGCCATGCGACGCTCGTCGTTCTTGCGCTCGTTGGCTTTCCGCTGTTCGTTGGAGGCGAGAGACACCCCCGCTACGGTGGGGATGGCGGACAGGATGAGGAGACCGATGACCATACTGTTTTGCGTTCTTCGGTGACGACGGTTTTGCTTGAGATACTGTAATGTCGGGAAGGCGTAGGGTAGAGGTATAATTCAGTTTGAAAGGATTCAATCAATGACCGGGATCAGAGAAAAGCTGCGGAAAAATACTATCTTTGTAGCTAAGGAGCGGGGATCGAGCCCGATAATAAGTTAACAGGCACACGCTGCATCGATACCATCGGTTTATCGGGCCTGGGTGGCGGTGCGGAGCATCGTCATATGTCATCGGTGGCTGATGGGGAGTGGCTGTGAGTGGCTGGTTTAACTCCCGCCGTACTCCTCCACCTCCACTGCTCTCGCAAACTTCTCCGGTGATCGTTGATCGTACGGGACTTGGCCAGGTGCGTTGCACGAAGTATACAGCACAATCACTGTCAACTTGCTATTCGACTTCACTTATAAAAAGGGTGTCTGAGGAATCTTGAATCAAATCAGGCTCTGGTTATTGTTCTGTCAATATTCCAGTCCTATCTCTACTCCAGAGCTCTACGCTTTCACTTACCCGAAGGCTTGAGGATCGCCATAGCAACGCTCGGGTCCTATACTTGCAAAGCAGCAACGACACGAAACGATTCTTTAAGCTTCTTACACTCACCAAGCTCAATAAGGTCGCATCTCAACTCTAATGCAATGCCTCTTCGTGATCTGCACCAGACAATGGCTCTATGTCACGGGCCTAGCCTATCTGACGGAGGACTCTCTCTTGCAATACGCAGGTAGGCGACGAGAGGCTGTTAATGACCATCTTACACCGACTCGAAAATTCTCAAGCTTGGAAAGCTCAAACTAGGGAATACAACGGAGTCCTAATTTCATAGACGCGCTCCAAAGGGTGTTGAGTAGCTGGGACCTCTAGACCAAACTGTGACTTGGCCTCCGACACAAGAGACCCACAAGGCTGGCAATGGTGTGGTACAGGATCGATGGTGGATGGCCGAAGGCCGTTTGATCGTCAAGCAAAACAGCATAATCCTCCTGTGCCGAACAAGAGAGTATCATGCCCTTGCAGTACATGCAAGCTGCCCCCTGAATGCAGGCTGTACTCTGGTCACAAGGCCGTATCCTTTATTCCCTCGCGAGACAAGGCAGGACTATTTACACTTCTCATTTAAACTGCTCTGTCTATGCCAAACTGACACTCGGAAGCGGAAAAAGTGAATTACCTGTGGCCAGACAACCCAGGCAGAAATCCGGGCTTGATCGATTCATTCCCAGGCGAATCTCCACTGGCACGGAGTAGTGACGAATTCGTTGCGTGGCTTGCGGTTTTCGAGACCTGGCATCTGAGCAGGCAATCTGTATACTGAGATTAAAGAATCTCCAGGCTCCAACCATGAGACACGAGCTTGACTCTGCGTATAAGTGTTTAACCGCTCATCATACAGATTGATCTGTAAAGATAGAGGTGATAAACCTTCTTATTCTTGGCAATCAAGCCAGAGCCAGTGAGCTGTTTTACAGCGCGAACCGGCCGCGTGGTTTCGACTCTTATTACTCCATCGCCTGGTCGACTTCCGTGCAGAGACGCGGAACGTGGGTCCGCCATGTGGGTCAACCCTATTTCAATCCAGCTTAGAGTTGAGGCCAAGATCGATGCCTATGGATTCCTAGTCAGTTTTAGTGGACATGCCTTCATTTCCGCTGTGTCCGCTATGTATCCATCACCCGTATAGATGTCTCATGGACTGAACGGGTTTCCCGCCTTTTCGATGACGAATGCAGTCTATAGCAGACCTATTTCTCATGTCCTCTCGCACGCACTTCCGCTTACACATCCTGTCGGTACAATTGAGATCTTTCCTTAATTCCCATGAGACCTGGGCAGGTCTATAAAGGGGGCATTAGCCCTCATTCCTCATCAACGGTACAAAGCATTCGTCTCACCACCCCTCAATCAATTTCGCCATGCGCTCGCTAAGCACTGCACTCTTTCTGGTAGGCACAGCAGCGTCAGTTGCTGCTGTTCCTACTGCCACCTCATCGTCCCAAAGTGCCACTGTTACTCTCGACTACTGCACCCTCGCGCCTGCTGCTGGAAACAGCTCGATCGGTTACTACAAGTACCAGAATGTTCGTTTCGCCGCGGTACCTACTGGTGACCTTCGTTTCGCGAAGCCGCAATGGCCTCCCGTTGAGACCGCCATGAACAATGGCAGCCATGCCGAATCTGACGTAGACTGTGCATCCACGGAAGACTGTCTCTACATGGACGTCTGGGCTCCAGCTAATGCTCAAGGCCGCAACCTGCCTGTAATGCTCTGGACCTACGGCGGTATGATCTTCCGCTTGGCGCTACCTCACCGTTGCTTTAGCTAACCTGCACTATAGGTGGTTTCACCGCAGGATCGAAGTCTCAGAATACGCCTGAGGGTCTATTCGATCTCTCCAAGACTTCATCTTTGTTGCGCCCAACTATCGTCTTGGATTCACTGGCCTGGCGAATGGCCCCTCCCTGGCCCACCAGGGTGGCACTCCCAATACTGCCTTGTGGGACGTTGAGCACGCCTTCAAGTGGGTGCACAAGTACATCAGCGCCTTTGGGGGGAATCCCGATGAAATCACCGCTGTCGGTTTCTCGGCCGGTGGCTCCATGCCCCTGTTCCAGATGACCCGCTTCGCCGGCCATGCCGAGCAGCTCTTTAGCCGTGCCTACATCATGTCACCGGGCTTCGTCCCCGGCGCTGGTCACGAGCACGGAGAAGCGTTCTACCAGAACGTCTCCAAGGCGGTCGGTTGCATAGGCGGCGACCTGGACTGTCTGCGCAGCGTTGCCTTCACCAACCTGACAGATGCCGCAAACGACGTCTACGAAGCCTACGACTACCAGTTCCAGCCCCGGGTGGACGGCGACTTTGTGGCGGACACGTACGAGGCCCAGCTGTACCAGAAGCACTTCAACTTCAGCGGACCCGTGGTCATCTCCCACGAGCAGCACGAGGCCAACACGGGAACCGACGAGGGCGAGACCACCATTTCCTCCGAGCAGGACATCATCACGAACCTCCGCATCTTCTTCCCTTCGATCACGGACAACGTCATCCAGGAGGCCCTCAAGCTGTACCCTGCCTCCAGCTACTCGAGCCAGGCTCTCCGGTTCGCAGACATGAGACAGTCTTTCGATCTGACGGCCCACAATTTCGCCCTCACTGAAGCCATGAACAACAACACCTGGAACGCGATGGTCGCCCTGAGCAAGGCTACCCACGGCACCGACCAAAGCTACTACTGTATGTTCCGCCAACAGCCCCCCAGAAACCCCAGGCACTCACAAAAACTGGATACTCACAAATACTGTAACAGGGTACTCTACCTACTCGCTTTCTTCCAGCAGCAGCAGCAGCAGCTCCTCCTCTGGCGCAGGTGTCGCTATCTCCAGCGACTCCGACGTCGACTCCACCGTTGCAGTACGTACCGCACCTCCTCCTATCATCCTTACCTATAACAAATCCCCCCCGACTAACACAATTCAACCCCCCAACAGCGCAAAATGCAGAAATACCTCCTCTCCTTCGTCCTCACCGGCAACCCCAACACCAAGTGGGCGGATGACAAGCTCTACTGGCCCGAGTACCTGAACGGCTCCTACACCGCCACCCAGCTCGTCTTCAACAGCACCATGTACCTGACCCAGGACGATCTGGCCAACGCCCGCAGCGTGTTCTGGAACAAGGCTCTGTGGTACTAGACTGGGATCCCATTGTGCCAGGGATTAATGTTGATAAGACTGGTCATGTTGGATGCAAGTCTAGAGCTATAATTTCTGATTTGTCTGCATATTCTCGTGTTACATCAAGTCTACTTTCTAGGTAGAGAGCATCTTCAAGCCGTAACCGCGTTCTCGGTGACGTATTTATGAATGTCCCAGAAATTCCGGCATTTATGGTTGGATCGAAAGTCCGCTCTCTCGCCAAAAGGGGCCTAGCAGTGAGCAATGCGCAAACATCATTAGCATCGAACGTCGCCTAGTAGAAGAGGACAGGCATCCGGTCGAATATACCTTTGGGTCCAGTTCGATTAAGATCGGTGTCACGTCCGAGGTACCTGTTCCCAAACATTCTAATCAACATCTGTGCGCCTCTTTTTTGCCTCAACGTGCATCACTTACACATGATGTTGACTCGGAGCACTTCGATACAGTGATCTAGAAGAATTATCGGATCTGTTACCTAATGTCTTCTCTCCGTTGGGTTTAATACAAGTCCGTAAAATATCTTACCCAGATGCATTCGGGCGAGTTGCGAGTCCGGAGACATGCCCCCCGGAAGGGGGAGGTCTTGATCGGTCCAGTATTCCTTATATGCCCATTGCCGAAGCATGTGCTAGAAAGAAGCAGCCATAATTAGCCTGACCGGACCGGCCACCAAGTCTGACAAAAGCCTTTTTGGGGGGGGGGGGGGTAAGTGCACTCACCACACAGTGAAGCTGATGAAACACTTCTACCTGCGCGATGTATCCGTCGCCGGCCTCGGTGGGGACGTGCTTGTAGTCTAACCCTGAACGCGACTTGTTCATGGCTGGAAGCTTGTCCGCTGGAACTCCGATCATCGGCACTGTGGAGGATGCGGGCACTGGTCAGAGACTTCTTGCTTTCGTAGCCTTTTTGAGCCACTGCCTGTGCCTTTGGGGTTCCTCTTTGCTTGTTTCCCACCCAGGGATAACACCTACTGTGCCATGCATCCTCCCAGAGTTTCTCCCTTTCCGGGTTGGGAGGACCTCGGAACGGGGAGGGTTCGTTGAAGAAGAGCGGGAGGTCGTACTCTTCGTATTTGATCAAATCGGGGACATCGAATAGGGGAGCTAAGAAGATCAATATCTGACGCGTGGGGTTTTCCAAAGACGGCGGGGGGAAAGCAAGGCACGTGGGTTATACGTACAGTATGGGGAGACGACCCGGCTACAAGTCAAGTCACTTGGCGCTCGCCAGGATAAGTAGAAGCAGATAAGAAGAAGGAGAACGATCAAGATGCTCTGGATCCAGGCCACCAAATGCCAGCGGCGATAGCGTCCTTGATTCTTTTGGTAGCTGGTGGCTTGGGCCTTGACTGGATCTTCTCCATCCGAGCCCTCACTAAGAGGGATGAAGGGGATTGCCTCGTGGCTACGCTTCATACCGTCGAGCAGTCCGCTTTCATAGCCGTGAGAAGGAAGGCAAGAAAGAGAGACAGAGACACAGAGAGAGAGAGAGAGAGAGAGAGAGAGAGAGAGAGAGAGAGAGAGAGACGAAACAGAACTTGAAATTGTGTGGGCGTCGGGCTTAGACACTCTCTTGATTTGGACTTCCCTGGTGGAGGTGGTCATGCGTCTTACTTTCGGCGTAACCTTCACCATCAATCCTACGCATTGATTGGGAAAAGTTGAAGGGCAGTGGAGAGGGATCTAGAATTGCCCAACCCCGATAACATCTGATCCTACCCCAGCCTGTCGACAGGTTAAGCCCGCGGCTGAATTGGAGATCGCCCAAATGGGACCAAACCGGTGTCTTCCTAACAATATGGAGAGCTTGCTACCTAGCCCTGACGGACCTTCGGACTACCCCTCCTGGATAGCCCGGGAACTCATATAAGACGACGACTATCAAAGGATGGGCGTACTGCAATGCGTATGCTAGATAGTAGGAGACTAGAAACGAGCCGAGAGGGATTAGGACAGAGATTGTTATTCCCAGATAGAGCATATCTAGCAGACTACACCCCGGGGTCTACGTACGATAGGTAGTATCTTCTAGTGAGATAGAGATAGACGTATTCCATTTGATTCCAAGTCTACCCCTGTAGTTGAGGCATTTTTCCAAGGTCGGAGGAGATGGGCAAACAGAAAATAGTTCTAACGTTCGTTAATCTAATTAATTTAACTAATAGCCGCTGAGTAACCAAGTAGACCTCAAACAATGACTAGTTAACTTAAGCCTCCTAAATCCGGGCCGATGTTACCTTGCCTGCTCTCATGCGAAGAAGACCCGCCCACGTCGCCCACTAAGTTAACGGCCGAAAGTCAAGAAACAAACCTGGCCGAGTAAGTTAGTAGGCCCCAATCCCGCCCCCAACACGTACTGGAAGCTTACATTGGACTTGATAACTAAACTATGCCTTAACTAGTCTAGGTATATGAACCTTTTCTCATCTACATGAGTAGTGATGTAGTCTAAGAATAAGAGAGAAAGAGGGGGGAAAGAATTGAATACCCTATAATCATACTGACAGTAACAAACAGTACCTTGGGAGTACGGTGGCCTACAAGTAAATGAAATTCCAGCGATTCCAGCGTACCTAAGGTGAGTTGCATGACTAACTTCCCTAAGTAACTACGTCCTGCATACCACTACTGGATTTGAATTCCCTGGCAGCATTGGCCTAGACTACAAAGCGATTGTTTTGAAAAGCAGTGAATAATGCAGTGGATGACTAGAGCTAACAGCTAAGTTACTCGCTATGGTTGATCATCACTCTCAGCACTGCAGAGAGCACTTGGCAGCCACCACCGTATTCACTCCTCGTCCACCAGGTCCGCGTAGGCGCCATCGCACTTCATGGTAACATCATACTCGCCGCGCTTCTCGATGAGGTCGGCATAGGCCCCATCGCATTTCATGGTAACATCATACTCGCCGCGTTTCTTTCCTCCACGCTTGTCGATGAGGTCCGCGTAGGCCCCATCGCACTTCATCGTAACATCGTACTCGCCACGCTTTCCGACGAGGTCGGCATAGGCCCCATCGCACTTCATAGTGACATCGTACTCGCTACGCTTGTCATCTACGCAACTCGGTCAACCATGCTCCATGTTCACACAGAGTAGAAACAATAGCTTCTAACTCACCGATTGGGGCAGCTGCACCCAATGTGATGAGCACGGCGAGTGTCGCAAGCTGGGTAGAGAGCTTCATTTTGTGGATCTGATCTTCTTAAAGAGGGCCAAGTGAAAAAGGCTCGGAGAATTGGAATTTCGGCAATGGCAGAGAGAGAAAGGCTTTCGAGACTGGGCTTTTCGCATGGGTCGGAGCATATCGAGATGAACGGTGGCAGGTTGTATGCTTCTTAAATAAGGAGGCCGGGGCCATCGCAGTACTAACTCCTCTGATCCTCCCAACCCTCCTCAAAAGAGCTCCTTGTTAGAGAGTGAGACAGTATGTCCTGCCTCCGCACTTCACAAGGACACGATAGGTCGCCTTTTCTTTTCTTTCCTTTTTTTCTCTCACCTTTTCCCACCACCGCTTCTGCATGCATTAAGTCACGTTGTCATGCGGAGTTTGTCCTTTGACCCCCCACCAGTATAATCTAACGTACTTAGTTATCGCTTCTGTTGAGTGGGGTCTACCTGGACTAGCCACACGAATCACACGAGTCCATTCACGTTGGTTACATACAACATACTACATTGGGAACCTGATAGAATGTAGCCACACAGACAGAGTTATCTGCTAGTTCGTGGTGAGCAGTAGTTCAGGATGCACCTCCTCGTCATATTGATCCCCGATACCTCTCAGCACTGCCGGTCTGGTCTCAATCCGCTCGATCCACTTTTTCAAGTGCGGGAATTTCCCCATCTCCTCCTCGGTGATCGTGCTTCTGCTCCACGCCCGCACCCAGGGGTACGCATTGATATCGGCGATACTGTAGGTGCCTCGACCGGCCCCGGCCAAGTACTCCCGGGCTTCGCCGCCGGCCAGGCGGTCGGACAAGTGCAGTTCCAGCACGTCGTAGATCCGAAGTGTCTCGGCCTTGAATCGTTGCACAGCATCTGGTGTCCCGAACCATCATCACCGTTGGTTGAGGTGCCCCAAATCAACAAGAAAAACATTATTAGACCGTGGTGACCTACAAGGAACCTGCACTGGAGCGAATCTTCCGAAATGATTCAACCCCGCTTGATGCGGCTGGCCGGACGCATGCCAGAAGATCAACCACTGAAAGAGCTGGGATCGGCCGGTGGCCGTGGAGAAGTGGAAATGATGATCGGGGTCGAATTTTTCCACCAGGTAAAGGAGTTCTGCGGACGACTCCATGACGGGGAATGGCTCCTCGCCGCTGGGATGGTCGATGAGGATGGGGATTTTCCCTGGCATCCATAAGACAGGGTCTGCGTTTCTGCCTAGATCCTTGAGGAGAGCTACTGACCATTGGGATTGAGCTTGAGAAACCATGGCTGCTTCTGCTCATTGGTCTCGAGGTCGACCAAGGATGTGGTCCAGTCCAATCCGTAAGCCTCCTTGAGTTCTTCCAGCAGAATCTGCACCTTCTTCCCATTTGGGGTGGAGCAGGTGATTAAATGCAAGCCCTGGAGTACCTCGTTATCATCGATTACGATACAGCTCCTTATACGGGAAAAAAAAACAAAAGATCATTGGTTTCACCTTCGTGTCTTTGACCCTCGATGGCATTGCCTCGGTGAAAAGGTCCGCCATAGTGTCAGCCCTGCAATCCCGGCATATAAAAACAAAAATTGATTGACGAGTTTGGGATCCGCAGTTTCCATTTGGATGTTGGTTATTTATACGTTATCTCGCCAAGCACAGTTGTCCGACGGAAATCCGGACGAAATCGCGCTTCTTACGGACTTCCTGGCTTTTAGGCATCAATCAGAAAAGTCGATTTCAAACCAGAAAAGATTAGAGTTGGACAGTTAAGCTAGCCCTATCACGACATGCCCGGTCTCTGCCACGTGCAACTGATTGGTGGGATTCGAGCAGCCAGCTGCACTACTGCAAAGAATGCTGGTCAGGGTCACATTCGAGGTAAACAGTACCCACCGTACATCTGTTACCTTGTGGGATATGAGGTCTGGAATTGATTGTTGTGTTCTACAACTGGTATCGTTCTGTCAGGCGGAGGGGAGGGCAGGCCTTTCCAAAGTTCGGGCCTTGACCGAGCAGATTCGGAATCCCCAACAGAGGGGAGCGAGACGCATGAGTGGCTGCGGAGTTAATAAAGATTCGAACCCGTGTCTTCCAAGTATAAGGTCATGAGCGCGTCAAGTCATTCCAAGCACCCTTTCACTCATATTGCAGATATTCGTGCACAGGGCACGAGACCTGCATCGCAGCCATGAAGGTGGTTCTGCTCCCACAAGCCCTACTTCTCCTCCAATATGCTCATCTAGCATCCACGGCGGCCGGCCCCTCGACTCAGACAGGAGCCCTGGAGTATCTGCACGACGCTCCTTTAGACACTGCCTTTGTCCTCTCTCTAATCCTTACCCGGCACAATCTCGAACACCTCGAGCCGCTTTTGAAGGCGGTTTCCACGCCGGGCAGCCCTCAATATGGTCAGTACCTCGACCGCGACGAGGTGAATACCCTTTTCCCCATCGCCAACGCCACTCCCGTGCTCGAGTGGCTTCATCGATCCGAGATAAATGTGACATGCCTAGAGGGAGGGGTCTTGGAGCTTCATACCGAAGTGGCAAAGGCGAATGCACTCTTCCAAACCACCTTTGCTTACTATCGGAGTGGTTCCTCCGAGACCCTCAGCATGGATCATTATACCGTTCCTGCGCACCTGGAGAGCTCCATTGATCTAGTGACCACCACTGTGGTTCAGGCCAAGAGTCGCCTGGCGAAGCGGGAGTCTTCTCCCTCCCGGCTCGTTCGACGAGCCGCTGGGTCGCGAACGGCATCGAGCATCCCATGTGAGAGCTCCATCACGCCATCCTGCCTGAGGGAGATGTATAATATCGGGAATTATACCCCCCAGGTCGGTACGGGCAGTCGCATTGGTTTCACCAGCTTCCTGAACCAATCCGCCCTCTACGCGGACATAGCGCGCTATGAGAAATTCTTCGGGCTGCCGGCGGAAAACATCACCACGGAGCTCATTCAGAGAGCGGACAATGATCAGAATGGGACCACCGCGAGCTATATCGAAGCCAATCTGGATGCCGAGCTAATTGTTGCGCTCAGTGGGCCGTTGCCGACGGTGGAGTTTATCACCGGGGGCTCCCCGTACGTTTGAACACCTTTTCCCAAGTTCTCTGTCCTGCTGAATATTTCTAGAAAAGGAAGAAAAAAAAAGGTCAAGGGGAATACTAATCTTGAGCTTGCTTCCCCAGTCCTTTCACCCCCAATCTCGACGAACCCACCATTAACCGAAATGAACCATACCTCGCCTACTATGAGAACCTGATGCTGAGATCCAATGCGGAACTGCCTCAGGTCATTTCCAACTCCTACGGAGATGACGAACAGGTCTGGAATGCATCTGAGGAGACCCAGAACGCAAATTTTGCTCTCCTGTTCCACCCGCACCTCCTTTCTTGTTTAGCTCTCTAACTTGCCCCACTGAAAAACAGACAGTCCCGATCGCGTATGCGAAGCGAGTGTGCAACATGATCGGTCTGATGGGTCTCCGCGGGATCTCTATTCTACAATCCTCCGGCGACACTGGTAAGTTAAGTTACCTACAGTAGTACCTAGTACCTAGTACCTAGTAGCCTGCCCCGCCTGATTTGATTGTATTTTATATCTCTTGAGGATTCCCCAAACTCATACTCTCTAATAAGGTATTGGCTCCCCCTGTCAGTCGAACGATGGGAGCCGGACCCCGGAATTCACCCCCATCTTCCCCGCCACCTGCCCCTATATCACCGCCATTGGTGGGACGCAGGGGTTCGAGCCCGAGATAGCCTGGAACGCGAGTTCCGGCGGATTCAGCAATTATTTCCCACGCGCCTGGTATCAAGACACCGCGGTGGGAACCTATCTGGACCAATATCTCTCCGACGAGACGCACGAGTATTATGCCCGATACACCAACTTCTCCGGGCGCGGGTTCCCGGATGTATCCGCCCACAGCATGTATCCCGAGTATGTTTGTGTCGTCGTTGGAAAGAAAAACTCAAGCCCTCGCGAAGCTAAATTCCTGACTCCTCCGCTCACAGTTACAAGGTCATCTACGACGGCTATTTCTACGGTTCCGGAGGCACCTCGGCCTCGTGCCCCGTCTTCGCCGCCATTGTCGCCTTGTTGAACGACGCGCGCCTAGCCGCGGGCCGCCCCGCGCTGGGATTCCTGAACCCTCTCATGTACGCCCTCCGGTCCTCGGCGGCATGGCGCGACATCGAGGTGGGCCAGGCCAATGGCTGCAACGGGGTGAATCCCCAGACCAACCGCCGGGTCCCCGGCGCCAGTGTCATTCCTTGGGCCCACTGGAATGCGACAACCGGATGGGATCCAGTGACGGGGCTGGGGACGCCCGATTTCGCGCAACTGAAGGCGCTGGTGCTTGCACTTTAACACCCACACTCTCTCACACACTCTCTTCTCCGAGATCTGTTGAGAATGTCTCATCATGGTGAGAAGATCAATGGCGTTTTGATATACATGAATTCCATCTCTGGCTAGAAACAACTCAGTGGTCACATTTCTGAAGATGAGAGTAACAAAGGTTGTGAGGGGAGGGGATAGTATGTACTGTTAAGGACGGGGGAATACTGCGCAGGTGGCCTTGTATTGAATGTCGAATCGAGTCGATTACTCTTAGAAAAGTAAGAGCCATTCTGAAGGATGGTACTTCTTCTTGTACAAGATATGGTGGCACAATACTGCAAAACTAAGGCAACAACCCAGGTTCTCTCTTTGCGACGCATGTGCCGGCGCAGCAGGCATTCGGGTGTCATCGAGTGGCTTGTGAAAGGTTTACTTACCACCTGGCCACCTAGCCGGGTAACTAGACCTGATAGGGGTACGGATAGGTAGCGTGATCCACTCTACTACATCACATGCCCAGCAAGCGCGCCCACCGTGGGATGGGCAAACAGATCCGCCACGGTGAAATCCAAGCTACGCGCTCGCGCCCGCGCCCGCGCCCGCGCCACCAGACCCATAGCCAGGATGGAGTCGCCGCCCAGCCCAAAGAAGTCATGGTCGATGCCGAACTCCGCGGGGTCGATCTTCAGGGTGTCCGCAAATAGCCGATGCAACATCTCTTCCGCTGGGCCGGACGGCTCCCGCTTCTGCAGGGTGGGCGCATCGAGGTATGCCTCCCGGGGTAGTACAGCGGCCATGCTGCGGAGCTGGCCGCGGTCCAGCTTGCGGGACTTGCTCAGGGGAAATGAATCTACGCACAGGAATGCCGTCGGGATCATGTATGTGGGCAGGGAGGCGCGCAGGGTTGTTAGCGCTGTGGCGATTTGCGCTTGGAGAAGCGAGGGGCCTGAGTTCTGGGTAGTCTGCTCCCGCGGACGGACGAAGGCCGTCAGGGTCGGCTGCCTTCGGCTTTGTGATCTATCATCGTTCGGGACGACGACCTCGGCCACGACCTCGGCGGCGTCAGGAAGACTGCGGCGCAGGTGGTATTCGACCTCGCCCAGCTCGATGCGTTGCCCGCGCAACTTGATCTGTGTGTCTTTGCGGCCGATGAACCTCAGGGTTCCGTCTTCTGCGTACTGGACCAGATCACCCGTGCGGTAGAGACGCGAACGGGTGGTTTCTGTGCGCCGGAACCGCCGCAGCCACGGTGGGTGCGCCTCTGGGGCGATAAAGGAGGCAGCCGTCTTGATCGGGTTGTTGAGGTAACCGTAGCCTACAATAGGGCTTTCGACCACGAGCTCTCCCACTGTTCCGATAGGTACTAGTTTGTCGACGCTTCTTGTGTCCACGACCCAACACACTGCGCTAGTCGGAGGCCCGACGTTGTTCGGATCACTTGGGTTGTTGACATTTTGATTCAGAGTGGTCAGGATGGCACACTCCGCGGGCCCATATAAGTTTAACAAGTGAACTGCTGGTGACCACGTCGAGATATCCTCCGGCGCAATAGGCTCTCCTGCTAATACCAGCGTCGTCAGTGATGGAACGTTTCGAGATTCGATAATGCGCGCCACAGACGGCGTCAAGCATGCCCAATTGGCCTCGAGTCTACCGATGATCTGCGCAAGGTCTCCTTCTCGATCTTTGGCAGAAGGAATACAGACACAACCGCCAGCTACGAAAGTCAGCAAATGATCTGCGATGCTGATATCAAAAGCGTATGCGGCGAACTGAAAGACACGGGAAGTAGGACGCAATGACAATGCAACGCTGTTGGCTTTGGCGCTTGTGCACCACGACTGATGCGACATGACGGCGCCTTTGGGCTTTCCCGTCGAGCCCGAGGTGAAGACTGCATAGAGGGCATCTCTGGGTTTGACCCGTGACATGGGAGTTGCGGGTTCAGTCTGACTCTGTGGCCACGATTGGTGCGAATCACCCAGTATGATGGAAGACTTTGCAATTTGACCTGCACGAGGTGCATTCTTCTCCGACGTGATAATAAAAGGCGCCTCTGCATCATCGCATATTCCACGCAGTCGTTGTTCTGGGTGAGAGTCGTCTAGCAGAATAAATGCGCCTCCGGCCTTCGTCACTGCAAGCATTGCAATGCTGGTCCAGCATGACTTTTCGAAGAAGAGAGGAATAAACACATTAGGACCTACGCCTTGCTTTCGGAGATAGGCAGCCATCTTAGATGAGGTCTGCTCCATCTCCCCATAAGTGAAACTGCCATCCCAAGCGCACACAGCTGGAGCGTTGGGCTGCGCGAGACTTCGCTTTCGGATCCACCCGTGAGCACAGATCTCCACTGTCTCGGGAAGCGCGGTATTCCATTGTTTCAACTGTGACCAATCTTCAGGACAAATAGTGTCCAGCTCACACAGACGAGCTTCTTCAGATCCAGAAATCAGAACTTGCATGATATGTCTGAGCTGCTTCAATAACCGGTCCATTTGCACGCTGGGGACAACATGCGGATCGAATGTTGCCTCGATCTCTATTGAGCCCGGTTTCTGCTGACAGATCAAGGTAATTGCGTAGGAACTGAATGCTCCAGTTTCCGAATAGTCCTGCTTCCTTGCGAACATCCAATCACTGCCAGTCTCCTCAGGTTGGATGACAACATGGCTCTGGAAATCACAAGCTTTGCTAGATCCCTGACCAAGGCGTCGAAGGTTTTGAAGCCCTATGTGCTCGAAAGGCATCGCGGTAACACAGAACTCCCGCAAACGCTGAAGACTGTTCTTCACGGTCATCTCTGGATCGAGATTCAGTCTCAAAGGGATGGTCGCGATTGCCGGGCCAGTCATATCCTCGACGCCCAGCACAGGAGCGCCACGTCCGCTAACAGTGAGGCCGAAGACGACATCGGCGGTCTCCGTATAAAGGGAAAGGATGACACCCCATGCTAGCTTGAGTTTGTCAGCAAGTGTGTACTCACTTGCAACCCGATGGTTCACGGGAATACAGATTGGATGCAGTTCCGTAGACTTGGGGATGTAGGCTGGGGAAGGTAGCGAGGGGAAGCTGGCACTCTGCACATCAGTGAAGCGGCCCTTCCAATATGCCTCTCGCTCGGTAGTCGTGCGCCCGATGTACTCGATCAAAGGACTGAATGGCCTCTCTTCAAGTGCATGTCCGTTATAGGCGGCTTCGAGGTCCCGAAGGAGTACGGGAAGGCCCCAGCCATCGGACAAAGCATGATGCACAGCCAGTGCGAAAACTGGCAGCTGTAAAGTAGATGCTGTATTGTGAAGATGTGCACGAATCCAGGACTGTCCGAGCTCGCAGGAGAGCGAACCTTTTGCTGCCCTGAATCCCTCCCCGTTCAGCGAGCTCAGCTCTAACGCGACTGGCCTCCGAATTACTGCCTGGTAGATCTTGCCATTGCTGGTTTGTATAAACCGGGTCCTCAGAATCGGGTGAGCGTCGACCAACGCATCCCATGCAGAATGAAACCGGCGAGTATTCACCTTCGCAGGCATTTCGTACCGAAACACGCCAATGTAGGAGCCCGGTCTTTTAGCGGCGAGAGATATAAGTCCTTCCTGCAACGGTGTACAAGGATACACGTCCTCGATTTCTGTTTCGTGGCTGAGCCCGCACTGCTTCATGGTCTCTGTAAGAATTTGCTTAAAGTTTTCACTGGCAGGAACCAGAGAGAACGGTCGGATTGCGCTACCTCTCGAAATCGTGCGGATTCGGGTAACCATGTCTTCGAGGGCATGGTGAGCATATAAGTCGGCTATGTCTAATTCGAGGCCTTCTTTCCTCGCTAGACCGGCCAGCTTCATGGCTGCCACAGAAGTCCCACCAAGAGCAAAGAAGCCATCTTGAAGACCAATCTCATCCATTGGAATCTCGAGAACATTTGACCACAGCATCTGGAGCTTGCGCTCAACTGGTCTGGAAGGCCTGCTGTTCTCGACAGCATAGTTTCCGTTATACCTGCGGAGATCATGTCGGGTCAAGGTCGCAGCCAGATTGCGAAGCATTTTCCGGTCACCTTTTCCGTTGTTCGTGAGAGGCATTGACACCAGAGGTAGAAAGGCGCTGGGAATCATGTACTCAGGAACCAGTCCGGACAATCTGGCTTTAAGTATCTCCACGTTGGTGCTCAGGTCACCCGTCGGTTCCTCAAGCCATTCTGCTTTGGTAACGTGCGTTATTGTACTATCTGATTTGAGAACAAGAAATGCAACGAGGATTGAAGCTGAAGTCTCATCTGCAAGATGAATCATATCTACCACAACATCCACGGCGCTTGGAAGCATCGATCGGATGTGGTGCTCAACCTCTCCTGTGTCCAGACGCTGGCCGTGGAGCTTGATCTGCGTATCCTTTCTGGCAACGTAACGGATCGCGCTTTTTGCGGCGTCGTAAACCACCAGATCCCCGGTCTTGTACATCCGATCACCTTGGGATCTAAACATTTTGTGCCACACCGGGGGGCTGATGAACACTTCGGCCGTTCGTTTAGGGTCGTTGAAGTAGCCGCGGGCGACCATGGGTCCCTCCAGCAGCAGTTCTCCAACCTCCCCCGGCGGGCTCAATCTGTCATGGTTGTCAGGGTCAACGACCCAGCAATTGACTCCAACCCCTCGCCCCAGATCAGACGGGTCAGGCCGGACGCCTGGTTGGAGCGTCGTAGCCATGCAGCCGATCGTGCATTCGGTGGGACCATAACCGCTGATGCACTGCATACGAGACATCCATTTCTCAATGTCCCCTTCCCGCAGAGCCTCGCCTCCAATTACCAGGGTCTGCAGGGTGCATAAATCCTCCGGTTCCAAAACCCTTGTCAGTGAGGGAGTCAAGAAAGACCAAGTGCAGTTGAGGCGACGACATGCCTCTGCCAGATTGTTCTTCCGCTCAACCTCTGAGGGTATGCACACACAACCGCCCATGACTAACGGCGCGAAGATGTCCAACAGCGAGGCATCGAACGCATGGGACGCAAACTGGAAGACACGGGTCTTCTCATGGATGTTCAGCGCGGCACTGTTAGCCAGCACACTAGTCGACAGAGACCGATGCTCTATCACCACCCCCTTCGGCTTTCCGGAAGTCCCGGACGTGAAGACTGCGTAGGCAGTACTGGTGCAGGGAACCTCTGGCTCAGGGTGCAGCGTTGTTGAACATCTCCCCAGAACAATGGCATCGCCATCGTCATCGTCACCATCTATCACGACAATCCTGTCGGCAAACTTGACCTTCTCGGCCGTGGCCTTGGTGGCGATGATCACCTTCGCTGCGACGGCGCGGTAGGTCTCTTCTAAGCGCTGGGTGGGATGCGATGGATCCAACGGCACAAAGGCAGCCCCGGCTTTCAAGACCCCCAGCAGTGCCACGGGATACCAGCGTGACTTCTCCGAGCACACCGGGACAAATTCCTCGATCGCGACTCCGAGATTCATTATGTGTGACGCGAGGCAGGACGACAGGCGATCGAGAGCGGCAAACGTAAACTGCCCATTCCAAGCGGATACGGCCTCGCGTTCAGGCTGTGCAACTGCCTGTTTGTGAAACAGTTCCTGTATGCAGACATTGGCGGGCTGGTGTGTTGGGGGGTTGAAGGAGTTTAATTGCTGCAGCTGCAGCTGGTCGAGCTCGGTCTCGCCTACTAATTCTAGCGACTCTCGGTTCTTGTTGATGGTCTTCGTGGGTTGGTTGAGGCCTTGAGGGGTGGCATTGTCGCAAGTGTCGACTCTTGTCATGGTTTTCTTTCTTGGTGGGTTATTGTAGGTTAAGAGAAGCAGGTGTTGGGTGTATATGAAGAATCTGGCGCAGGTGATGAAGGCAAGAATGTCTCAAGAGGATTCACTTGCGTTGGAACGACTAGCTGCTGAATATAAATATGAACGAAATGTGCTTCTCATCTCGAGAATCCAAGTGTTTCCTCATACTGGTATCGAGAAGGAGTAAGGTTCCCTGACGTTGGAGAAGTTGGAAAAGGAACGAGGGGAGATCTTGCGTGGCGATCAGCAGCTGCCTTGTTTCTCCCGAGTCCTCCTTGTCTTCCACCACGCCCACACACCACATGCCCAACTTCACGCCAGCAGACTACCTTAACTTTTCAATAAGCTGATTGGTTTGATTCATATCAAGCCATATCCCACCAACCCTGTCGATCTCCGACGATTTTAGTGGAAAATGCGGAACTTGTCCGAACGGGGTAAATGTGTGCAATGCATCCCACAGAAGACGATCCTCTTCACACATGCAGCAACAACAAAGTCTATGGTTGAATGACTTCAAATAGCGGCAGGACACCGAATGGGGTATTTTTGTACCGCACAGCTGCTCACAAATGGAGGTTTTCTTCCTCACACGCAGGATACCATTATGTCTATCCCGGACCCCGGCCCACGACTACTCTTACTCGGATACTTCAGCAATGTTCTTCTGTGCAGGCCTCTACCTGACATGACTCAAGTCATGACGTATTGTGGTGCCTATCTTACATTCTTAGGGATTTGCCTTAGTCGATAACCTAGTTTTGATGGGGCCAAGCCTAACCAACCTGTCAAGGGATCTCCACCGCTTGCATGAATCGACGTCAATTTTCGGCTGCTATATGCCATCAGCAGGAATATTTGTGTCAAACCGGACATATTAGATGACCACTCTTGGGAATGAGCGTGTAGCAGACACAGGCACAGCTCATGATATGCTGTAAGTATACAGGACTGCGCTGTCATCATGTTCATTTTTGACGAAACACAACGCCAGTCCCCGACTTTAAAAACGATACGCCAGACGTTTCAGCTGAAGCAAACCGATTCAACTCTCTATAGTCTGAAGGCTATTCATCAAGCTGTTGAAATGTCTACGACCACTGTCTGCGAAGTCACTGGGCCATCCTCGGCACTTTCGCTCGATACGCGGGCTCCCAAGGAACCCTTTCTTCGCGACATTCGAAAGTCCTTGGAGCTTCTCGACCTGAACTCATGCGTTATATCGGGTCTGTCGCAGTCGCGCAAAACGATTCCGTCACTTCTCCTCTGGGACGAGCAGGGGCTCAAAAACTTCAATGAATGGACCAACTGTCCTCACTACTATCCCAAGTCAAAGGAGTTGGAGATCCTCGAGACGCACAAAGACAGGATGGCGGGCGCTCTACCTGATAGGTCTGCGCTGGTCGAGCTGGGATGTGGGTGCGTTCGCCCGGGTTCAAGATTTCCATTTCGATGAATCGTACTCATTGCCTGACCCCGTCTTAGAAACCTTCACAAGACCGCAATCATACTCTCCGCCCTCGCTAGACAAGGCAAGAAGGTCCAATACTATGCCATGGACGTCTCGGAATCAGCGTTGCGCAGCAGCCTGCAGGCTCTGCAAGCAGAGTTCAAGCACTTCCCGGATATCAGTATCTCCGGTCTTCTCGGCACGTATGACGACTGCGTAGACTGGATCGCCAACAACACCGCCAGTCTCCACACACGTTCAGTCACCTTTCTCTGGGTCGGCAATAGTGTAGCAAACCTCTCCAAGACTGAAGCAAGCGACCTTATGGGTCAGTTCCGCCAAGCCTGCGCTATTGCAGGAATGCACTGCCACTTTCTGGTTTCTGCGGACGCTTGTGCCGACGAGAGCAAGCTACTCAAAGCCTACAATCCCGAAGGGGGGTTATCGTCCCTCTTCCTCCGCTATGGCCTGCTCCATGTTAACAAGCTGCTCCGAGCGGATCTGTTCAAAGACGTGGTTTGGAACTGCCTCCTCGAGTACGATCGAGAGGAGAACGAGATCCTGACTTTCTATTCTCCCGAAAGCGATGTCACATTGTTGAGCGGTGCAACGTCAGTGACGGTACATCATGGGGAGAAGATATTCTTCTTCCGTAGTGGCAAATGGAATAGAGAACAAATGAGCATTATTGCACAGCAGGGCGGGTTCCAAGTTTCGCAGGTATGGAGGGACGCAAAACAGGAGTACGGTAAGCTGAGCCCAAAGGTAAATCTTCATGGTGGATGATGTGCAGCTACTGACGAATTTCAGGTTTCTATCTTCTATCTTCATAGCGACATCTGCAACGTACTGTACCTTGCTTCTTCTTTCAGAGTTCCATATATGCTGCCATGATCATGATAAATTTCCGATTTGTACTTGATATTGCAGTCGATAGAATTGAATATTTGATATAACGGTTTCAGCTAGCGGATTGTCCTCGGTAAGCTTTTGCATGCGTATCATAGCGGGCCTCAATACTGCAAACCCTCCTTGCAGTGTGAATTTGTAGAACGATGACACTTCGCAGTCCGTCTTAGTAAGGACCTCGTGAATGAAACTCTGAGTATCAATGATGAAGCGAAGTCTCGCCTGAGCGGAAGGGCCGACTGACACTTGAGCTTTCCGTGAAGACCGGATACCCCTTGCATGAACCATTCCCACAACCATCCATGGCAGGGAAACGTGTGTAACATAGCATGCAAGACAGGGTGCTTGGGCCAGGGAAGCATCTGTAGCACAGCATGTATCGAGCCATTTGCGACGTCATTTTTAATCTTATCCATGATGTGAAGCCCAGACAGGGAAATACCTCAGGAGAAGAAAACGTGGACTGGTCCGGCAAACAACCTTAAAGCATTCCTGAAATTTAGTCTGAGGAGGAGCCAGATAACGGGAAAACAGGGAATCGGGAAACCAACTCTCTAGGAAAAGGCACTACAGGTTTGCTCGGCCGAATCGATCTTTTGCTCGCACTCCCTGCGTCCAAGTACTAGACTAGACAAACAGGTGTATACACGCATCAGGTGGGTAGCTAGACCTGTCTCGAGGTCTTTTAGTCTTGTTCAAGTAGAAACAACGGGTAACAAGATTTCCGGCAGGTCTTCCCTTGCACCCGGATCCGTGTGGCAAACAATCCGAAGTAGGTATGTGCGATACACGAATAATCGATGTCAGCAGACCTCAGTCTTCATCTGCTGCATTTGGACTAAGTCGGTTGCCTTCTTAGCCCACCTCAGAATCTGGCTCAAGTCTTTGACTCTTGGCCGTGCAGGAATTATGACACCTTTTCTTGTCTGTTGGAATGCCACTGCAGGTAACACTTGGAAAATGATCTTGAAACTTCGTACCATGTACGTCGGTGAATTGACCCGGCGAATAGTCCTAGGGTATGAAGAAGAAAAAGAAGACCTATCCAGTCTGAGCTGGGATTTGATATGTCGACAATCACAGTGCAGAATGCGTCATTCATCTGCATGAATCCGGACATGAACACGTACAAGAAACGGATTCATGAACTTTTGGTGGACGGCAAGCCAACATCGAGAGGCTGTGGCACGTAGACCAACCACGAGATCATCATGAGTTGCTCAAACTAGGTCGCATATAATGGAAGACAACCTGCTGCAGCTTCAAACCACACATCAAGAACTGTGAGATGGAGATTGGCTTCATCACAGCATAGACTATGGTGTCACAGTATTGGAAGACGATAGCTTTCATAGCTGCTGCGTGTGTCTTCATCTGGATCAAATATACCAAAAGATGGCCAAGTCATAGACTTCCCCCGGGCCCGCGAGGCCTCCCATTGATAGGGAATCTTCATCAGTTTCCTTCCAGCTTGGCCAGATCTACTTTCGATGAATGGCACAAGCAGTACGGACCAATCGTGGGCCTGTCTCTGGGACAAAGACCCGCCATTATCATAGGCAGCGCCTCGATTGCCAATGAATTATTTGCGAAGAGAGGCCGCATCTATAGCTCTCGACCTCGAATGGTGATGGCGTTAGAGAACTTGTCCCACGGGATGCACACGGTTTTCCTACCGTACGGGCCTCAGTGGAGAGCGCACAATCGCATCCATAAGATCATTCTCGCACCGAGCAAGGCCTTGCATTTCCACGAGCTCCTTGAGGCAGAAACTAAGCTGACTCTCCGCGACCTGCTGCATTCAAAAGACTGGGACCAAAGCATTGTCCGCTTTACATCTAGCGTGGTGTACAGCCTTGCGTATGGTCAACGTCTTCAAGGAGATGAGCCGGAGATCCGGGAGATGTCTGACTTTGTCGAGGAGACGATGCGTGCAATCTCTGGATCCTGGCTGGTAGATATCCTGCCCTTCATCAATAAACTGCCCAGCTTCCTTAACCCATGGAAGAGATTCGGGAATCGCTTCCATCAGCAGGCGATGCGGATATTTGCAGAAAGCAGCAGACACGCCATAGAGGCACCAGGGTGGAACTTCACCAAGCATGTTCAGACGAAGGAACGAACCAGTCATTTCAGCGATGAGGAGTTACTATATGTAGTTGGCGTGCTTTTCCAAGCCGGCATCGACTCCACCTCCACGGCCTTCCGATATTGCATCCTAGCATGCATCCTGCACCGCGACAAAGTCACGAAAGCTCAGCAGGAGCTAGATGCCGTGGTTGGGAAAAGTCGTCTCCCCAGTCTGGATGATATAGCCGAGCTGCCTTATACAAAAGCCTTCATCAACGAGGTTCTCCGCTGGCGGCCTATCACGGTCGGATCGTTAGCGCACTGCAGCTCCGAGCACGACACGTTTATGGGTTATGATATACCGAAAGGCTCGGTGGTGATACTCAATCATTGGTCAACCGTGTTGAACGCCGATACTTACGGACCAGATGCTGCCTCCTTTCGCCCAGAGCGATGGATTGAAGACCCCAACCTGCCGCTGCTTGCATTCGGCTGCGGGCGACGAGCCTGTTCGGGGCAGTATCTGGCTCAGAAGGAGCTTGAGGCTTTGATCCCTAGTATATTATGGACTTTCGACATTGAAGTCGGCTCGTCAGATGAGACGAAGCTGAAATTGGATCCTTGGGATCTCCTAGACATTGGCGGACTCCTTCGACCGCCTCCATTTCCAGCAAGCTTCATCCCCCGCGACGAAGAGAGGAGGACACTCATCGAGCGTGAGTCTAGAAAGGTGGATGCAGCAGGCCTTCAGGATATATTGAATCGGATTCAAACACGTCTGGATCGTGGCTGAGCAGGTTATGATGAAGAATCGGCAGGTAGACGAGAAGGGTAGGATAGGAAACGAAGAGGGCGAGGAAGAAGGATGGGGAAGGAGGCAGGCGGGAGGAGAAACTATAGAGAAACACGCAGTACCTACTAGTATATTAGTTCAGATGAAGGCAATCCTTGTAGCAAGATGAAGAAGTTATTAATCCTGTCTCCACATCCACGCCTCACTCAATTCTCCTGACACCTGACACTAGTTACCAGCCGGCCTCTTCCCAGCTTTTCGATTTACTTATACGCATGATCTACAACCTCTTATCAACTCATCCCGACATAACCAAATCACTCCCCCTCCTCAATCTCCGTCCACCCTCTAACCTCCGCAAAATCCATAACGCGATACTCGCCCCCAAACCGATTAAGGGTATCCTCCCAGTCGCGATCCACCGCCAACTCGGGCCTCCACCTCACCGTCCGCGCCAACCTCTCCTCCAACCGTCCCTCCAACCGATCCACAATAAACCCGCCAATGGACGGGATATGCGCGAACCCTCGCCCGGACGCGCCCACCGCGCACAGCAAAGACGGATAGTCAGGGTGATAATCGATCAAGAAATTGCGGTCGACGGTGTCGGCGCACCAGCAGATGCGGGCGAAGGCGAGCGGGCGGTCCGCCAGCTGGGGTAGGGTGGCGCGCAGCAGGGCGCGGATGCGCGCCTCAGATTCTGACGGGATCTGGTGGCGGGCGAAGGGGACGCTTCGCCTCTCGCTGTGGGGCTTGTCGTCCGGGTTGTCGTAGATCCAGTTGCAGTAGCCGGGATGCTCGTCGCAGATCTTGAGGTCGTGGTGCTCGGCGTCGGGCTCCATGAAGAAGCCCTGGTCGGCGTTGAAGAGGACCGGGAGGTGGCGGTAGGCGGCGGCCTCGGTAGGGGACAGGCGGATGTGCGCGAGCGTCCACGCTGTCGGGCGGAGCTGTTTCTTGAAGTCCAGAAGTTGGTCCGCGTTGGCGCCGGCGGCGAGGATCACTTTGGCCGCGTGGTGGGAAGTGCCGTCGGCGGTTGCGACGCCGATGACGTCTCCTGCGCTGTGGGGGTGGTCGGATGCAGATGAAAAGAGTAGCCGCACGACTTTGCCCTGCGGATCGCCGCCGATGAATCGCACGCCTAGGCGCTGGGCCTCGGTGATGGCCGCGAGTAGGGCGTTGCGCGCGTGCACCCAGCCCGCGCCTTTCTTCTTCCAGTACCCCTTCCACCCTGGGAGAGGGCCGGTGAGGATCCCTGTGGGGAATGCTTGTCGGAAATCGTCCGGCGTGTTCAGTTCGACTACCTCGTCTCCGGGGCGGTCACGGCGATGGATATGCTTGAGGCCGTCCGGGGAGAAGGCGGAGGTGATGGATCCGGTCTCGTGGAAGTGTGGTTTGAAGATCGGGTCGTGCTGGAAGCCGTGGCTCAGCGCGGCGAAGAAGGTCCGATTGGCGTAGTCCGGGTCGTCGTCGGCTGGAGGTTTCACTGGATAAGACCTCGTTAGGTTGGGGATAAAGCAGACACTCTTAGGGAAGAAAGTAATGAAACATACTGAAAGAGACAATCTTGTTCACATCGTTCCCCGCCGAGATAGCAGATGGCTGGGGATACGCATCCAGAACCGTGACATTAGTATATCCTCGGCGCGCCAAGTGCAGCGCAGTCGAAGCACCCCACGTTCCAGCCCCGACTATCAGAATATGCGAGTCATGCATACTGTTGTCGCCCCTGTTGTAGCTCCTATTGTTGTGGTCCATCGCAGGTGAGGGATCGATGTCAATATGAACCGACACAGAGGGACCTGTTGTCTCGTGGATAAGGTGTGGAGCACGCATTTCCTGGATCCTTGCAGCCACTAACTATCTCAAGAACCCAAACTAAAACTCTCGTATGTGGCCTGTCAAGGACCTTATATTCGATTCCTGTAGCTTGTTGTAGCTGATACATGAACCGCCGGGCCTCCGAGGACGGACAACCGTTGGGAGGGGCCGCGATAAGGGACCAAATCACATCATTATTGGATCCAATTTCGAGCCCCCCTGTAGTGGCACTAGACTAGGCGATGATAAGGCAAGCTTGCTCCACTCTTGCAACAAGCTTCGCTTGGACCTGCCATTGTTCGGTCGATCTGGGGTATACCTCATCGCTTCACCGTACTGTACATTGACACTAGAAAAGCAGTCTATGACTTGGCGAGGTGGCCAATAACAGCCATTCTCATTTATTTTTGATAGATTCCACAAGTCAAATACCTCATCGAGAGATCCACGACCACAAGAGGGCTCACAACACTATGCTCAGCTTCAGTCCAGCCAACATACAATCTCTCCCAAGCAGAATCGATCAAAGAACAGCCCCAGCACGCAAAATAAGAACACGGGCACAGCTCGGCTATCCAAACAGACTGCTGAAATATCGGGGCACACACATATAAGCATCCAGATATCCCTTTGCAAACTCACATCCGAGCAGTCTGATCAACCTCATTATACATAGATCATATGAAACCGCCAAGCAAAGCAGAACAACGCAGATCCGAGTAAAGCAGAGGATTAAGATATAACAGATAATTCAGAGCATGCTCCCAGGCTCGCGAGGCCAATCCTTTCCAGTTTCAGATCGTTATTCAAATCCTCGACGAGTAAATGGCTTGTTTTGCCTTTTCAACCTTTTTTTATAGATTTTCTTTGCCGATATGTGTGTGGGCGCTTCTTCTCCGCCAAGTTCGCCGCGCGTAACCCAGTAAACGAAATTCGAGATCAGGACACAGCCAGTAAAGCCATCGACACAAACCCATGACGCCACAGGTATGCCGGACATCACTGCAGCAACAACATCAAACTTATTAGCAAAAGTTACACTCCTCAATTCCCATCGACAAATCAAGCAAAGCTTACCTCGGCCCCCGCAACCCTCCCCTCCAGATCATCCACATGATTACACAGCGCGACAAACAAATCGAAAAAGAAGGGATGGCCCCTCTCCATCTCCAACTGCATGGTGCCGCTGGCCTTGAAGACCGCCCGCGACCGGATAATCATGGCCAGATACCGCGCGCGCAGCTGATCCTCCGACTCGGGCGTATGCTCGTATGCGAACCGCGCGGACCGCAGGATCACGTCCACCGCAATCCCGGTTCGGATGCCCTGTTTGCGCAGGGCGAGGTGCTTGAGGGCCTCGGGGAGGCCGTAGTGCTCGGCGGCGCAGTAGATGGCCGTATCCCGGAGGATGAGGCCTGCCCGGTGATGATAGAAGGTGGCAGTGGGGGAGGTGTTAGGTCCGACGGGACTACCGTCCTTGCTGGGATGAGAGTGAACTGGCTTGGTTGCTAGAACCTCCTCGGCGTTCTGCTGCATCTCACTTTCGTTGTCAGCTTCTTCCTCAAGGCGCCATGTAGGTGCCTCGAGACCGTCCCCACGTAGAAGACGCGGGTAGTAGTCGTCTTTGTAGAGAAATTCGAGGATGCAGGAAAGAATTTCTGGGTCCCTGTCTCTTCTAGTCAGCCTCTCGGACACCCTGGAGGCAAGACCCCTAAGTGGTGCAACAAGGCGATACTTACTCATCAGGCAGCGCCACCACTTTATTCAAGTTGCTCTCGATGAACTGATCTCGGAGCATAGCATCGAAGAAAGTAGCCCGGGAGAGTACATCTTCATGCGCGACGAAGAGGCGATGATCCGGGCCCACGATCAAGCTAACCACGGGGCTCACGAGGGGGCTGGGGGGTTGCAGAATACATTAGCTTCCACGGCCCGGACAAGCAAGGAGACATTGGCATGCAAAAGCATACGCACAAAGCTCAAGCAAAGCAAGAATAGAAGACAGAGACAGCCCGCAGGAATGACCAGATAAATGCAGATAAACACCTACCTAGTAAGAGGCGGCTCCTTCATGGTCGACTCCTCTTCCTTCTTCTCTTCATCTTTCCCCTTCCCACCCTTCATTGACTTCGCCATAAACCCTACCTTTTTGGTCATGGACGATCGGACAGGCTTCTTGACCCGGCGGTTCTGAGCTAGCAAGGACGCAGAGCGTCTTCTACCGGCCCTTCCAGCCATCGTGCTTCTGCCGCCCGGATCCATCCACTGGACCAGGAACGAGACGATAGACATTCAGGTGTGGAATGAAGAGAGAAGAGAGAAAGCAAGAGAATTAAGTGACCAGAAAAGGGAGCAGAAAGCGAATGACTGTGGATCAAAACGCAGGAAAGGACAGGAATGACGCTGCCGCCGTTTGGTCATGCATGGGGTCGCATGAACGGGGGAGGGAATCTCGGAAGCTGATCATGCAAGACTACAGGTTCCCTTTCCGCAGACACCGGGCTTCATCAGACGGAGACCCAGCGGGAGGCTTGCAAAGGAACTTGCAATCTTACGCTATCTAGCTTGCACTTGCGGTCATCTACGGTGAAGTAGAGACACTATAGCGGAACGGTCGACTCTGGGAAGCGCGGAGAAGAAAGAGAGAGAAGAGCAGAGAAGAGAAACAGGAATTAAGAGATGAAGGTGTGATGGTGGTGGAGGTGGTGGAGGTGGGGATCATGTGATGGTGAGCGGCTGATCGATCAATCATCATTCGTGCTTGATTTTCGGCTAGTGCAGTGTATTTATCGTAGCAGTACTTCCAGGCTACAACCAGGCTCGGTAGCCCAGGCAGGGATAAAAGCCCCCAAGACGTTATACGTACAACCTAAGATATAGACTGATGATCATGAGCAACAATCATGAGCAGCTTCTTGCCACACAACAGAAAGAAGCACGCCCTCTGAGCACATCGCTCCACGCCGTAAAATAGGAAAAGAAATGCAAGCATGCAGATAAAGTAGGCCCCAGATACATGACATGAAACAGGATGATCGCTACCGGACATACCATGACAGAACAACAGTAACAACACTATTAGCAGATCATAGACAGTAAGAGAATGTACTTGAGGTGGGAAGATGCTTCGACGAAGACAGCAACGTCCTGGTGAATACGCGAGCATCAAGATCAAGCAGCCTTCTTCTTCCGGCCCCGCTTAGGCTTCTCCTCATCGTCAGCAGTATCAGCAGCGGCCTTGGTCGGCTTCTTCGCGGCCTTCTTCTTAGCGGCAGCAGGCTCCTCGTCGGCTTCCTCGACAGCGGCCTTGGATTTGGCTGGACGACCGCGCTTGGAAGTCTTCGGCTTGAGCTCCTCTTCCTCGTCTTCATCAGATACAGGCTTAGGTTGAGCGCTCTTCCTGGATCGCTTAGGCTTGGGTGCTTCTTCTTCGTGCTCCTGCTGCTCACCGTCGGCCTCAGCCTCAACCTTAGGGTCTTTCTTGGGCTGAGCACGACTGCGCTTCTTGCTCTTGGGGGTAGGCTCCGCCTCATCCTCCTCGTCAGCTTTGGCCTGAGCCTTCTTCTGTCCATTTATGTCAGTTTCAAGTCTGAAGCAAAGCCAGGTATTTAGTCAGAGAATCTTACCTTAGCCGCAGCCTCCTTTTTAGTGGCCTTCGAACGGAAGCCATTCATACCAGGACGGTTGACTTCAACATCCTAATCATCGAGACGTATTAGAATTGCTCATTGACCCACGAGCAAGCAAATAGCACCAACCCCAACCAACCCCCATCGACACCAAGAAAAAGAAAGAGAAAAACTTACCCCCTTCCAATCCTCATCATCAACATGCCCCTGCTCCAACGCCCGACGAACCTTGTCTTGATTCTCCTCAGAAAGCTCATCAAAGCCATCGAGAGCCGAGCAATCCGTCTCATCCCCACCACTTATGTCCTTGATAGCATCCTTCAGATTCTGGATGACATTCGGCGTGACACAGCCCCTGAATGTGGGGGGGGAGGTACATCAGATACTGAAAGGGTTCTCATGATACACGATACACAAAAAAGAAGGCTCAAAATGCCCGCTGCTTGCAGATGGCCAGGGAGAAAAACTTACCAGTGACGCCATTTCCAGCTCTGGTAATCGCCTGCTTCGACCCAGCTGCCGTGACGGAGCTCCCCCTTGGCGATCTTGATTTTGGCGTCCTTGCATTCCTTGTTCTGGCAGCCGGCACGGCTGCTGCTCGCCTCCTCTGGGGGAATAGGTTAGTTCAGAGCTCAATAAATCAGAGGTGCATAGTTCGTCGACTAGCATGCTTGTGCTAGTAGTGCAGACAACTGAAGAAAACCCAGTGTAAAATATTATAGGAGAATCCAAAAGAAAAAAAAAGATCTCTAGGAATCTGGTGAAGTGGATAATGTGACAGTTGGCAGGACAGCAGCGAGCAGCTCGGCAGAACAAATATTGAAGACTCGTAGACAACAAATCCCTATCAACGGCCCATATTTTACATATCGATACAGATTTATGTCTGGAGACAATCAAATGTACACAGCAACACTGTACTTCGAAGGCAGAAAAGGATCGATGGAACGGAACTTACCCAAACGATATGCGCCCATTTTTGCCGGACTGCAATGACGACGGTGCTACGTGCGGCAAGTTTCTTGGGTTCTGGCACAAACACCTGACTTCACTGGGTTTGAGAAAGCAGGTCAAACACTCAAGACTGTTGAGAAAGTTCGAAGACACACCAACAGTAGGTGGGCGATGGAAAAGAAAGAAAAGAAATAAAAAGAATTGACAGCGAGGTTTAAAACAGAAGAGGAAACAATCGGAGGTGGTCTGAGAGAGGAAGGAAAACGAGCGTGAGTGGGAAAGGGAGTGCGGGCGAGCCAACAGCCCAACGGAACCCGCCAAAGACCATTGCCGCAGGGCTCCTCGCCGCCCTTTTGCTACGACGCTCATGGCTGGTAATGATCATTGTTGAATTTTGGTTTGCTCTAGATGACAGACTGACACGGGCTCTTCAATTCTTTTTATTATGGAGCCACTTGGAATCCTGAGGTTGGTGGCTATTATCAATACTACATCTTCAATCCCTGCGGTCGCTGCGGTCGGTTCTTCGAGAATACTTCGAAATCATCGGTCTTCCTGCAGAAGGCTGAAGAACAGTCGAGAACTCTTACAGGCATCATCTACCTAGTATAGACACTCCCAAAGTAGCAGTTCAATTCCTAGATATCATTGCTCATCAGATGTCGCCTATCGCTGCCTATCCCACCCATTGTTGCCTAAATAATCAACCATGAGCACGAGCTTGACTCGTACATACATCAGATTTCACCAACAACAAATATCACTGAGAACATGAGAACCTGAGAACCTGAGAACCTGAGAGCCTACCCCAGCCGGGTCTCCACAAATATGAGGTGCTCTCACAGATCATAGTTCAGGCTCATGTCCACAACGATCCCGAAGCGCTTCAAGCCAGATGGTATGAAGTTTCTCCAAATCAGCGATGTGCTTCTGAAGCATGACTACTGCCCCAAGGCTGAGCCGCGACATGTATGCAGAAGCGTCTCCGACAGCTGAGTCTTGGCCCGCGGAGGTGCGGTGGTGATGCTCAATCATTGCCAGCGCATCATCGATGGCTCGACGGATCAGATGAGGGCGATTCATGCTCAGCGCGGTCGTGGGCGCGGGGAAATATAGCCACGAGGTAACATCATCGAAGCCAGACACCTCATTTGCCAGAGCATGTATCATCAACTTCCGCGTCAGTAGGAATGCTCGCTCGGTGTATTGAATCGAGTCAATCCGCTTCTCCTCGTCTGTAGCAAGGGTTTCGAAGCCAGGCTCATCTGCAGGAGTTAGTGCTTAGCAACGGGGCTTTTCAGATCTGAAGGGACTGCCTTACTGTAAAACGGACGTTTGACCAGGACCAAACCCATGATGGAAACCATGATCTGGAGAAGCGTAGACTTGGACGAAGACCAAACCTCATTTGGGTTCTGTGCAGGCCATGTGCCCAACAGACTAAGGCAAACCTGGCCGTCGAGGTGCAGATTAGGATTGATTTCTGCCTCGGTGACGGACCAGTAGTGAAAGAAAGCAGCCGGGGGCTTGCTTGGGAATTGATCCGTGAGGTGGAAATCGATCACAAAAGGCGCATGCTCGTACGGAGTGCCCGCAGGCCCAACAATCAGAGTCCTGATGAGATCCACGCGTGACTCCCATGAACGGACATAGATGCCAGCAGGAAGAGATGTATTGAGGACCCCCCATTCCTTTTGTATGCGCTTGATACTCAAGCTGGAATCCCCCGCGGGCTCACTCGAGATGAAATGATGATCAGAGGGAGGGGGTCCTTCGAGTACGAGGAAAGCTGGAGGAGCCGATGATCCGGAGGGTTCTGTTCCACTCATTTCCATGTCTCCTTCAGCATCTGCCATTGTGACATGATAATACGGGAAGTCCTCAATGTGTTCCAGTGCATCTTTCGAAGTGTGTGTAGACCCTGCCTCTTCCCCATGGGATACTCCGTGGCAGTTGGCATCATCATCGTCATCAGTGTCTTCATTATCGGTGTCATCTGTGTCGAGATCTTCAGACTCGTCGTTCGGAGCCAACTCATTAAGAGGCATTTCTTCACATTCACAAGGATATGACAACAAGATTCTCTCCGTTGGCATCTCAACATCCACACATGAATCTCCGTGAGTCAACCGCACCGTGACGGTACCATCGGTGTTGGGTTTCATGATCATCCCGACAAAGTTCGCATGTAACCTTGCGCAGAAGTCTTCGTAGTGAATACTGAGGCGTGTAGGTGCCGGAGAGTTGTCGACTACGATTGTGCTCTTGAACCATGCAGTACGAACGACGTCTCTCTTCGATTTCTCGAGGTAGCTCCGTATAGCATCGAAGTGCTTGGAAGGTGCATGGCTCGAATGATCGGCGCCATTGCCAGGCGCAGGGCTTACCCGGAGAGCTTGCAACACAGATGTGTGTATCGTGCTCGGTATAATATGCACAAGTCTCCCTGGTGACCTACGCAGGGCAGGGAAAGAGGCGAGCTCGTAGAGCGAGACTGGAGTTCTCTTGGTGTTCAAGGTTCTCAGTCGAGTGTATTCGTGGTTTAGACAGTATCCGTGTAGCGGGAGCTCAACAGTAGCGTCGTCGTACCATCGAACATATGCTACTCGCTCTCGACTATCCACCTCTTGAACCACGCCCACTTCGTGTGAATGAAGCGACAAGCATGACGAACATCTATTATCACCTCCGGTCGAAGGAATTGCCTGAACCGAGTCTTTGAGAACAGTCAAATCTCCAGGAAAGACCTCTTCGGGATAGGGATTGGGTGTATGCAGAGATATTGCGTTCTCTATGGTAACCTTCCCGTTTTGCCACTGAACTGTCGTGTCTGTCTTGGATGAGACAATTCGAAAGACATTCATATCATACCCATACGAATATTCAACTGGGACGTGACGATAATGAGGGTATTTTGCAGCCGCTCCAACCGTGTCACGGAAGCGCACTACACTTCCCAGTTTAATCAAGCATCTAGGCCTCAGCTGAAGCTCCTCCTCACTAGACTTGTTCGTCGGGGCCCGACCGAAGTCACACTTGATCGCATACTTCTTGAACAAAGATGCTCTGATTATCTCCGTCCCCCCAGTGACTGTGTCTTTGTCTATGCCAATCCCGAACGCATTTGGCATCATCCACTTGACATGGTACTGTGAAGCTGGTGTAGCCAACGTGCAGACATACTGACGACCACGAGTTGGGTTCTTGGTACGAGCACCATAGACTTCGCACATGTTCGCGGCATCGACCAAGGCAGCTCGGCCAGGATAGACTTGACCAGGGTCCTTGTATACTATCTCGGCTCCGGCAACCTCCGACTGTTTAGTGATCTCTCCACCGCGTGGCATCCACACCAGCCTTGCTGGGTCGACCCAAGTTGGACATTCGACGTTCAATGGATTGTAGAGGGTGACGACCTCGCTTTGCCTCGTCAAAAACACAGGATCTCGATCAACATGCCGGATGACCCCAAGCTTCTGCTGATATATGATATGGTCTCCCACAGCGAATGGCTCATGAGACTCGATGTCGGAGACGACAACATCATGTAGCAAGTTAGATTGTAGTTCGTCCATCGGTGGCATTATGTTAGAGCTGAGACACTTCGGCTTATCCTTGAATCTAAGCGGACCATGTTCCCCTGTTAGTGAGTTGTTGGGGAGAGACGCGACAGGCTCCAGGGTGTATTTAGTCCGGCAACTTAGTACCCTGCCATACATGGCATCGTGTGCTTGGCATTTGACGATATCACCAATGTGGCATTCTCTGTCGATGAGTTGAAGCTCATTTTCAGGAATCAGCGAGTAGCCCTGCGATCTATCCACGAACCGGACAAAGACATATCCTTGCGGGGCCTGTTGAGGAACAAAAGAGACCTTAGTAAACACGCAGAAGAAGTCCCTGAGCTTTGCTACGTACGTCCTCTGTCTGCAGGAATTTCTCCAGAATTCCCGCGGGTGTCGATGGATGAGAAAGGATGAGGTATTCGTCCAGCGGGTAAACTAGGGGCTTGTATGCAGCATAGGTCAGTCACACCAGAGCTCTGTGTTCTGGAGAGTGGGAAGAGAAAAGTACATCATCATGAGTACCCTGCATCTAATCAGTATCTGAGAGAAGGTTTGCTACAAGAGACCTGGTAAGCATAGTACCTCAACAGAGCACACGCGAGACGGATTTGAGACCAGACAACATATATCATCTGGTTCGAACTGCTGAACATGAGCTTTGAATTATAGAAAGAGTAGTAGACGATCTCTGCCTCAGCTCACTGAACTTACGTGGGCCTTCGTATTTCTTTGTGCCTCAGCAGTCGCCGCCATGGTCAGAAACGAGGATACACGACCTGCACAGGCGTTTGAATCTGCAGTGAGCAAGTATTTGGGAGAGCCAGATCCAAGTGATAGTGGGAAGGAGAAAGAAGGGAGTAGATTCTGTGAGATGCGAGGGTAGTAGTTTGCTGACGAGAGGAGGAGGAAGAAGAAGAAGAAGAAGAAGAGGAAGAGAAATAGCGTCAGAGGTATGGGATCACCCGTCAGGTTGAGGGAAAGTGAAAGAAGCTCCTTGGAGCCTTGAGGCGGCTCTGCCGTTCACCTCAGGGAGTGAATGAAGAGCTCAGGGCCAGAGACCGATCAAAGAGGGCCGACGCACTTCACAACCTCCTACAAGCCGTGTGTGATTACATGCCAGAAAGACCAGCCAGCCCCGCCGGGAAGAGGAAGTATAGATAATGAACAGGGAGGGAGGGGTTTGTCACTTTTCTCAACAACACCTCCAAAGGGACTAGGCAAGAACAGGCCCCATCGGCCATTGTGCACTGTTTTCCCCCTTCAGTCTTGAGCTATAGAAAAGATTTGTCGTGGACTATAAAGTTGTCAGCCTGTCATACCGTGGACGATAGCACTATATACTTCAAGTCGCCCAACCTCGGATAAACTTCCCTACATTAAAGGCAGTCTTGGCACAGCCACCCACTTCCCCTTCCCAAAGCTTCCAGAACAACCACCGGCACCGCCGATCATCAAACCCTCCAACAATCCTACACCTACACTTTCCACCCATCACCAACCTAGACCTCAACTCCTCCTCCTCACCAAACCACCACAACCACTACCACCAAAAAACAACCCCTCCCGAAAATGTCCGAACCCATCCCCGAATCGATCCCCACAAGCGCCGACCCGCGCAGCAAACGGCCCCTCAAGCGACGCGCCCTGAACACCCCGCAAACCGCACAATCCGAACAAGCCTCGCAGATCGAGACGCTGATGCGGGACCCGACGCGCGAGATCCATCTGCCCACCCAACGACCCCCGCGCACGGCGGGGTCGCTGCCGCCGCCACCGGAGATCGTCGCCAACGTGCAGGGGTCGTCGGCCGGCGCGGGCTCCGGCGAGTTCCACGTCTACAAGGCCAGCCGGCGGCGCGAGTACGAGCGGATCCGGCTGATGCAGAACGAGGTGATCCAGGAGCAGGAGGACGAGGCGTGGGCGCGGAAGCAGGCCGACACCAAGCGGCGGGACGAGGAGCGGACGGAGAAGAATCGGCGGCGGAGGGAGAAGAAGAAGCGCGCTAATGCGAGGAAGGAAACCACTCATCAGGCCGGTGGTGGGGAGGGGAAGGATGGAGCTGCTGGGGATCGGATGGTGGTTGATCGGGCGGATGAGACGGCGGCGGCTGGGGGTGGTATCGTTGCTGGGGCGGAGGGTGGCAATGGCAATGGCAATGGCGAGGCTGGTGGGGAGGTGCAGGGGATCATTATCCATGATGATTGAATTGCATTGGATTAGATTGGGGGGCAGGTAATGGCTGGAAAGTGCTATGGCCACCATTGCACAACATGTGGAAAAAGACGCGGTAGGATTACAATGTACGATATGAAGATACCCATTAGTTTGAAAGTCTAGGATGTTCTTACAGAATGTCCGTTACCGAAAAGTCATCGTGCAGAATTATGTACGCAATTTTTACTATCTTTGATATCTCTCGCTCAATTTACTCGTCGCCGCCACCGGCTCCGACACCCACTTGCTGGGCCGACTTACCGCTGCAGATGTCGTCAACACGGAGGAGCAGACATGCGGACTAGTTTCTCTGGTTAGCTTGGGGGACAATCTGACATTGACAGCGCGGGCACTCACCTCAACAGCAGTCTTGATGCTCTGGAGCTTGACAGCTTCGGGCTCCCAGACTCCGTACTCCTTCATATCAACCAAAGCTCCGGAGTCGCCGTCCAGACCCCAGGTGGTGTGGCCCTCGACGTGCTTGGCTCTCATACGAGTGAGAACACGGATGGGGCTGGCACCGGCGTTCTGTGCTAACGTGCGGGGGATGACCTCCATGGCGTCGGCGACAGCCTTGTAGGGCCACTGCTGGACGCCCTCGATCGACTTGGCCAGCTGGCTCAATCGGACAGAGACGGCCATCTCAATGGCACCACCGCCGGGGGAAAGGCGGGGGTGGAAGATAACATTCCGGGCCACGGCCATGGCATCCTGGAGGTTACGCTCTATCTCGTTCAGGATATCCTTCGAGGGACCGCGGAGGAGGATCGTGCAGGCCTTGGGGCTCTGGCACTTTCTCATGAAGGTGAAGTACTCGTCGCCAATCTTCTCGATCTCGAACAGACCACACTGGGTTCCGACGTCGGACTCCTGGAGGTCGTCCACGCGGTTGACAATGGTGGCGCCCGTGGCTCTGGCGATACGGTTGTTGTCCGTCTTTCTGACACGGCGGAGAGCCGTGACATTGGCCTTCATCAGGAAGTGCTGAGCGAGATCTGAACACAGGAATTAGCTATATGCAAACCCAACATCTCAGCGCTTGGTTCCTACCCGAGACACCCTTCTCGGTGATGACAACGTCGGGCTTCAGAGCCAAGATGGCATCACACATGTGCTTAACCTGCTCCTCCTCGATCTGCAAGATACGGTTCCAGTCATCCTCCTTGGTGATCTCGATGTTCGTCTGCGATTCACCCTTCTTGTACTCCAACGGGCAGTCGAGCAAGATGATGCGGGGGTTCTCGATTCTTCTCCGCATCTTCGGGTGCGTGATATCCTTGTTGACCATGACACCGTCGATAACCTCACTGTCCTCAATCTGACCACCGGGGATCTTCTCGATACGAGCGTAGCGCTTAATGTCAACCTCACGCTTGCCACCGCCAGCGTCAAAGGACACAGTCCGAACCGCCTTCAGGGCGAGGCTGCACATAAGCTCCGACCACCGAGAGACGAACTTGGTTCCGATGGAGGACTGGATGAGGGTGTACATGGCCTTGTCGTCGTCGATGTCGACGGGTATCGAGACCTCCTCGACGATGGCGAGGGCGTCAGCCAAAGCACGCTTGAAGGCGGAGATGATGACAACGGGGTGGATGTTGCGTTCGAGTTGGGGAAGGGCCTGTGCGAGCATTTCACCGGCTGGTACATGTTAGCAGGCTTGCTTCGGCAATCAGGAAAGCCCCGAAGCAGCAATGCATGCATACCAAGAATTATGACGGTCGTCGTTCCATCTCCGACCTCCTCGTCCTGAGTGCGGCTCAATTCGATCATGCTCTTCGCGGCGGGGTGCGACACCTCAATTTCTCTCAGGATAGCGTGTCCGTCGTTCGTCAGGACAATACCGCCCATTGGATCCAGCAGCATTTTCAGCATAGCCTTGGGTCCGAGACATGACCGGATAATATCCGCAACGCTGCGGTTGACAATCCTGTATTAGAGACCGGAGCGGGGGAGGCGGGGGTTGGGAAGGGTTTGACGTACGTCTTCGCAGCGGCAATGTTGGACAGCTGAGCTTTACGACCAACCTGTCTGTCACCAGCGTTGGTGTCTATAAACAAGTCAGCATTCTGAGGCCAAGCACAGGCAAAACCTCCCCCCTCAAAGCAACATACTCATCACCACCACCGGAGCCTGCATTTTGGCGGTGGTTCTTTGGCGTGGGAAGGAGAGGAGGGTATAAGATAAACGATATTGAGATAATCCTGCGGAAGGAAGCAGAATCTGAGCAGCAAACAGCCAAAAGAAGAGGCCGGTTCGTAGGATGGGGAACTGAAGGTGTTGTGCCCGCCGTCACCATCAAATTTCCAGCGCACCCCGAAGTGGGATGGCGGACAAGAAGCTCACCGCCAACTAGCCTGGATTGGGTTTAGTGCCACCCTTCCCCTGATCTATCAGTTCTACCACTGGAATTCCCGACCGCCTCAATATCATCTTCTACTTGGTTATAACGTTATACACATAATAATCTCTATATAACGAACTGCACACATCGCAGCAACTGCAATGGCTGATCTCTCAACAACGAATACCCCAATCCAACCCATAGAAGAATATAATAAACACCCATCAAGCTTAAAAAGTGGTATACCGCAAAAACGCCAGCACAATCAGAGGCCCATTTCGATTTTATCTCTTCAACAGCCTCCCCATTCTTCGAATACTCCTCTTCACCCTACAGCGCATAAAAGTTATGACCGACCGGCTCTTCTTCCGTGGATCATGGGATTGAGCCGCGCCCCTGCCATCCCCGCGCCGCCGTTCTCTACTACTACTCCCCGTGTCTGTCTCATACAAAGGCCGGCCTCTTTCCTCTAGCCGCGGTCCATGCCCATAATGCATACTGTAAAACCGCCTCGAGCTGACAGGTGAGCGATCCACATCCCTTTCAAAAACCGCCACATCATTATGATGATGATGAAGAGGCGGGGATATTTCCAGTCCCGGTTCACCATCATCTTCGAACCAAGTACTGTTTCCCCCCATGGCGGCGGCGGCAGCGGCAGCGGCAGCAGCAGCATCAGCAGCAGCCTGAATATCATTGTGCCGGTTGACCGACCACTGCTGCTGCTGCGAGCGCCAACTTCCATCCTGTTGGTAGGTGTTTCCCTGGGCCTGTCGCAGATGGTAGTGGGCCTCACTCATCTCCTGGTCCGCCGACAGCCGGGCCATCATGTTCTTGAACCAGGTCTCGGCATAGTCGCTGTGGTAGACGGGGGGCCTGCAGAGCCGGAGCTCGTTGTGGGCGCTCTGCTGCTGCTGGAACCGGTGGACGCGCTCCAGCTGCAACTCGCGCATGGTGTCTTGGAGGTGCACGGGCAGCTGCGCCAGGGCGGCTTCGTCCAGGTCGTAGAGGACCTCGTCTTCGTCGTCGGTGGAGTAGCCGCGGGAACCGCCCCGGGGCTTCGGTCGGGGCCCGGTCCAGGAGTACTGCCTGCTGCTGTTGCTGCTGCTGCTGCTGCTGCTTCGGCGTCGTCGTCGGGGGTAGGCATGACCCACAGGCCCTACGGGCGGAAGCATGCTGGACGAGGACATGATGATCCGCCAGCCACCAAGATGCCCTGGTACAGCTAGTTTGATGGGCAAAATATAGCGCTTCCCAGAAAGAGTCTCTGGGGCTAGAAGCCAGACGGAACCTAGTAAAGGCAAGGAAGCAAGAAGGCCAGCGTATCACCGGACTTGGATTAGAGCATTCATCGATGGCTAGAACATCAATTGTAAGCACAGGTAGAGAACAGAGAAGAACGCGCAACAGCTTCTTCGACTACTAACCTTTCACACGGTGAAGCATACATCAATTGACCAGTTTTCCACGGTATGGATGATACAGATAACACGATAGGTGTCTTCTGTCAAGCATTTTTCTCCATGCCGTAGAGCATACATAGACAGCGGTGGTCAAGCTGGCGATCATAGATGATTTGGCTCATGGGGCACGTTTGTGGATGGATTGTGGATGATGCTCCCACTCCCCAACGTTGGCCATCAGAAAGGAAGGGGACAGGCCAGTTCATAAGTCATCCACTGCCATTCGCCTTGCAGGGTGGCCCCTCTGTTAATTCAAATGAAATTTTCTGCGATGGAGTGGATGGAGAATTTCCGTTCAGACAAGTCATATGCAAGAAAGACGGTGAGAAAAAAGCAAAATGAGTTGTAGCTTTACGGATGCCCAGTGCATCCAGTGCAGGAGAGGAGCGTGTAGCAAAAAGTACATTCAATAAAAACAATCCACAAAAGTCAAAAGACATATTTTAAAACAAAGGAGGCTCTAACACAAGCAAAAAAAACCTTGTTGTACATATTTGATCGAACACTATATTTCGAATCCTTCCCCGAAAGGTTAAGGTTATCTCTCTCTCTCAGAACTCGCGACTTTCGCCGATATCACAGACATCGAAAACCCCCGTTTCCGGAAGATCGTGGTCTCGCAATGCCTCCTTCAGCTTCTTGGGGGGTTCAAGAACCTCTTCTTCGGTCAAGACCCATGTGCCCCAGTGGATGGCCATGGCTCGCTTGCATTGGGTGTCTCGGAAGATCTTGACGGCATCGTGAGGGTCGGCGTGCATGGTGCTCATGAACCATCTGGGCGCGTAGGCTCCAATGGGGATTAACCCTAAGTCAAAGGGGCCTCGGTATTGTCCGATCTGTTTGAAGGCTGGGCAGGTGGGGAAGTTGTGCTCTGGGGCATGGTCGTTGGTGCCAGCTGGAAGTTCTGAAACTGCTGCGTACCCGGTGTCCCTGTGCAAAGTTCAGTGGATCTGGGTTAGGAAGAGGAATTATCCCGGATCATTCGATCATGAACCTACCCAGCGAAGTATAATTTCTGGCTCCCGGACTCGATGGACCACGAAGCCCAGAGCGTCTTGGCCCGGTCAAAGACCCCTCGGTTACTCGTGTGTTGCGATGGGAGGCAGCCGATTCGAGCCTTGATCTCAGCGGACGGGGAATTGATGTCTTCACCCGCTCCCTCGACTTTGGCCGGGGACTCCTGGGAGGGCGACAGGACGAGATCGCGCTCGTCCCACCAGTCTAGCTCTGTTACGTTCTTGATTCCGAGCTGCTCGAACCAGCTCTTGTTGCCCAGGGGAGCAAAGAAGTGGCAATTCGGGTGTTTTCTAAAGATCTCCTTGATGGTAGGATGAGAGAGATGGTCATAGTGGTTGTGGGAGATCACGACCGCGTCGATGATAGGGATATCTTGAACCTGGCAGGGAGTGTCGGTGAAGCGCTTGGGACCCATCCAAGACAGCGGAGAGCAACGGTCCTCGAGAACGGGGTCGAAGAGAACTCGCAGGCCGCTAGGAAACTCGACATAGTAACAGGCATGGCCGAGCCAGGTTGCGCGCAGGCTGGAAGTGGTGCGACTGGCCAGAAACTCTGCTTTCTGCACAGGAATGGTGGGCGGTGCGGTGCTCGGGAATTTGATCTTGCCCGTGATCATCTGCCTTTAAGTAACAGCAGCAAGAAGCATGCACGAGTCAGCTCATCGATGCATTGTCAAACCTGCATTGCATACACGGTTGTCGCTCTCTGCGGCCTGAGCACTTACCCCCAAAACCGTACAGCATCACTGATTGTGATATCTTTCCAGGAGCTGATAATTGAGGACAAAGTTAACATCCAGCTCAGCGGTATTCGTGTCATGCTCGGTTTGATGACTTACTTCCATGGGTTCTTGAAGCCACTGGTACGATGATGAGCCTTATCCTTGACATCACTCGGGCCCGGAGATCCCGGCGCGAGCAAAACAGCTGCCGAATACAGGATCCCTGATGCGGGGGTACTCATATTGCGTTTTTCGAAAGATGACCCACGTGAGACCGCTACACTGTGACGATGGAGAGAATGCCAATATCTCCAGAGGGCACGCATATCCAACTTCCGGTTCTTGGGGGGGGAGGAGGCAAACTTTATAAGGACCAAGGTTCAAGGGACAGAGGGAGGTGCGTGGCTCGAGACAAAAAGAAAAGAAACTATTGATGACTAGCAAGTATGCTGGCGCCTGCTAGTCACTTACGCAAAGACACAAAGACTGGAAGTTACTTTTTTCCAAGAGCAAATCCCTGTAAAGTTACCTACGGAGTTGAATCGATCTATCTATAACTAACTCCGGCCGGCACTTCCTTATCTCCGCCACTTAATCCCTGCTGACGAAAATCCAAGTGGGGCGGAGACACGGGCAGATCTCCCACCGCTTTTAGAGATTCGGGCAGTATGCATGGAATGTACTACAGCCTACCGAGTACTGTACTGTACTAGTAGTAACTGTACCTACTCCCAGGTAGTACTCATAGTAGAGAATACGTGCAAGGCGCGGAAAGTGGTTCATTATGCACAAACAACACCACTGGCATGAGAAGATCAAGAACAAAAACAATGCGTTACTAGAGATATATTCCTTGTGCTCTACCCTCCGACTGAATCAAATCCAAAAGCAGACGAAACGGTCAGGTTAAATAAGTCTTGTCATATCATTGAGTGCTTCTTTTCCGTCTTCTCACTCTTTCTTCTCTCTAGCTAGGGTATGGGGGGTGAATTAAAGTAGCTCAAGTATGACAGACAAGAGCCAAGAAAAGCAAGGCGTTTTGATGGGAAAAAGAAACAAAAAAGAAAGGGGAAAAAGAATCCAAGTTCTCCTCTCGCCGTCCCAAACGCCTTCAAACAAAGAACCAGTAAGAACAAAAGTAAGATAGGCAGAAAGCAATCGTGTTCACTCCCGCTAGTTGTATTCCGTGCGTGTAAGTGGTAGTAGTCAGAAGTAGTAGGTGTTAAAGTAAGCCAACGGATCCGGTGTAGCAAGTAATGGTAAAAGTCGTGATTCCCAAGTAGTCTTTGGTACTCGTGCAATGCGGTGGTAACAATGCATATATCGATTCAATCGATGTTGACCGGCCAAGAGGTATAGTTCGGAGGGGGACATATGTGCGATTTAGTTTGGTGGGGGTTGGATAACTGAGTCAAAAATGAGACACCAGAAGAGGGGCTAAGTTCTACTCTTCTTGGCCCGTTCATTACTATAGACTCCATCTCCCGTGTCCTTTGAAAGAGGGTACAGATGCATCCCCATATCCGTCGGGAAGTCCGGATGCAACATGTTGAACTGGTTGGGGTTTTGAGGGACGCCGTTCACCTCAGCAGGACTAGACTCGACAAGGAGTTGCGCCAGGCCTCTGTCAACGAAGCCGACCGGCTTATTATGCAGCCGGTCCATGCGAGCCCAGTCATCGTCAACTTCCTCGTTCATGAGTGGCGGTAACGGGGGAGCGCCGTTGTTACTAGGACGCGCGTGGTAATTGGCCAAAATGTTGTAGGGGAGATTGGGCCGCACAGCGGGCTTATCAGAGAGCTCAGCCAGGGCGCTCAGCGCGTGGTTGCCGTGTCCCCGGGTCGAGCGCGTGGCGTGGAAGTTTTGGCTGGCCGTCCGAGCCATATCGGTGGCCGGGGTACCGTTGTCTTCCGCGCCTGTGCCGTCGACGCCGGAGCCCTCATCCGCGTCAGTGTTGTTGCCGTTGGTGGCGGCACCCGAGGGCTGATCCGCACGTTTGGACGTTGAGAAAAAGTGTACGGTAGCCACATGTGCATGGTTGGCGTGCGCACTGAGCTCTTTCTCCGTAAAAAGGTTCTGGATTGCGTATGCGGGCGCTTGCTGTTGCTGCACCAGCTGAGCTTTTGCGCGCTCGGCCGGATGCGAAGATAAGCCCGAGTCCCGAACTGGAGAGCCGACATCTTCCTCGGGTGCCTTTCTCTTTCGCCTGTTGAACGTCTCTGCCATGGCTCCTTCGCCGAGCTCAAGATCGACACGATGGCGAGTGTGCCGCGTCTTGCGGTTACCGTGGATGCCACCTGGGCTGGCAGGATTGGTGATGCTGAACTGGTTCGGATGCAGGAGCAGAGCGTTGGTGTCAGCCAGATCCAACTGCTCTTTCTCCCGCATTAGACGGGCCCGTTTGCCGGTAATGGTCTGGACGAGACGTTCGCGGAGGGTATTTGCAAGGTGCTTGTATTCTTCTTCGGCGAAGTGGACGCGGAACGCATACTCCCGTTGAAATCTTTCTAGATTGTTGGTATGACGATGCTAGGCAAGAAGGTTCATTAGCATGGGCAGGCCAAACCGGGGCCGGGGGGTGCAGAAATCAAGAAAGAACGCAAACTTACTGCCAACATCGCTAAATCTGCATCCTTTTCAGCCTTGGCCTGGTTTACTTCCTGCACGAATCGCGAGTACCACATCCCCGCCAGACTAGCCATCTCCTTGGCGAATTTCCCTCCGCCGACAGTATTCTCAATCAGTTGTGCAATTTCGTCCGCGGAATCGGGCAGCGGACCCGGCTCGTAAGGATCCGCATTGTTGATTAGGGTCATGTCGCATTGAAGGGCATGCAGTTGTTGCCGAAACTGGGTGTCTCGGTTCTGACTGAAGGAAGCCGTCAGGTCTTGAAGACGCTCCTGAAGCGCGCTGCGTCGCTTGTCCCGTTTGGAGAGCGGCACGCTGGTCGGAGGACTTGTCGAGCGCCCTCGGGAATGTATATTGTTAGACATGTTTGGGACGCCGCTACTGTGAACTGGAGATGGAGGGGCAGGCGAGTAAGCCATAATCTGGGCGGATCACTCGCCAGGTAAATGTGCAAAATAGAAGACGCTGGAGGGCTGGGTCAAGTGCGAAAGCGATCTATTTCTCTTTCACTCACTCTCCCGCTGTGTTTGAAAGACAGGTGCGATTGAGAGACGTTAGACAGAACTGCTGCTGTTAGAGAGCAGTGCAGGTCCCAATTCCGACAATTAAGCACATTCAGGGCAAAAAAGATATCGCAAGATGGACAGACAAAGCGAACCAGAACAAAGTGGAAGGATGAATGGACGGATGAACAGTGACGGAGGAGAAGCAGAAAGCGGGCAGCCGGCCGTTG